TCATATTTTTTCACTTTACAGTAGTTTTGTTTACATCTCTAAATAACATTCAAATATAATTATTACATGAGTTAAATTAATAAAATATACATATATACATAACAATAATGCATTTTATTTGTAATCTCGCTATAGAAATTCATAAGAACGGTAATTCGTTCAAAGAATTGCATTCTAATTAAAACACATAATAAATCCTTCTATAATTCGATTCACTCGCTGTTTTGCACTCGATTTGAAACACAAAAACACTCTCAATACTCATATCATACAATACTCTTTACATTCATGTATTTTACTTTATTTGAATTTTTTGTCATATACATTTTTGTTTTGAATAAATTATTATATTCATTCAAAAAACAATGAGTGAGTCAAAAACAGTACTTTCAAAAAATTAAATGTTTTAAAATATTATTTAAGTCACTCATGCAGGGCTCTAGTACCTACCTTTCACCAAGTATGTTTTGAAAACCAGTTTTTATTTATTTATTTCAATTTATTTTATGTATTTTTTTTTTTTTTTTTGTATTTTCCCAATAAACCAAAGAATGATATGCTAATGAAAACGGTACAACATTTTAAAGGCGATTTATGTATTTTTTTTTTTGTATTTTCCCAATAAACCAAAGAACGATATGCTAATGAAAAAGGCGATTGTGACATCATATTTTATTATTGAATACGATATAACATCGGTATATATTATTTTGTTACCAATAAAAAAGTAAAGAAAATACAAACGTTTGAAAGCTGGGAAGAAAATTGAAATAATATCAATACGCGAAAATCGTATATTTAAGCTTGAAGTAAGTTCACATGTATTGAATCTAAAAAAGTTCAGATATTTGCAACCAAATAAGAATGCGAAATATGATTTACTATGTGTAACAAAATATGTATGAATGTTTTTTTTTCCTTTTTTCAAATTATATGTCATTTTAGCGTAATATATAGTAAAAAACTGAATAATATCATTTTTGTACCAAATAGCAGTTCAGTCCACATACACCGTTGCTGTATGGATGGTCCGAACGTGCATAATCGTGGGAAAAAAATTGAATCCGTGAAAAATAAAAACAAGGAGGTAGAAGATGCGGACAGAACTAACGGACAGAGTGACAGAAGTGTAGTAAAAGTGGACACTACAACTTTCAGGGACAGTAATTGAGAGACGGACGTATTCTTTAGACGGAGGACTCACACTGACTGACGTTTATGCCTGGATCTTAGAACATAAGGGAAGGGACAGTGCCGTTCAGAAGTTTGGGGAAATGGATCTGTCTTCCGACGGGAAATATGACACAACTGTGGTGTCTGTTCATGGTAGGAAGTCAGAGCAAAGAACGGCACCCGGAAATCTCTGGCCAAGATGGAGCAGAGAGTTCCGACGTCGTTCTCGTCTAAAGAATAGTACCCCGTCAAGAGGCACAAGCAAGACGTAGCTAGGTTCGACAGAATCTAAGGAACGACAAGCAGATGATGATGTTGGCAAGACAAGCACTCAAAAGGGTGTAGGCCCTTCAACATCAGCTGCTTGTCGTAACAGTAGTAAAAAGGAAGATAGTGCTCTTGCTGCCGAAGCGCTCAGAGCATCGATTGGATCTGTGGTTGGCAACAAAACACCTAAAGTGGTTCCAGGGGCGAAGAGGGAAGGAAAACTTCCGGCTGCTTCTCTTAAGGGTTCTCAAAAGAGGACCGTAAGGCGAACCGGATCCGGGGGTGGCCAAAACTCCAAGCTAAAGGGACCTAAAAAATCTTCATGATGGGGAAGACTCGAAAGGGGACCATTAAAAGAGCTAGATCCGGAGTGAAGAAGTCCATGAGCCTGGACGGTATCCTTCGAGCAGCGGTTATAGATCGGTCTGATCTGGATGGAAAATCAGTCCCGGCCTGTGGCAGCTGGTCGAAGGAAGGTTCTTGGATCAGATCGCTGCGTACAGTGGTAGCCCAAAAAATGCATCATTCAAGAGTGCAGACTGGGCTATGGCCATCAAGATTGTAAAACTCTTTTGAATTTTTAAGGGCCACAATTGCCAAGCTTGGAGATCTTAGTCCGGACTCCAAGCTCGAGGTGATTCATGCATCTTAACTACCACTTAGGTCGATAGTGACGGTGTGGATTCCACAACCCATAAGACCGGTGGAAACCATACTGGCGTTATTGGCCAAGCAGAACAGTAATCTCCTTGCAAACCAATGGTTGTAAGGAGAATACAGTTGCCAACTTTGGTCTTAGAAATGTGAGGTTTAGATATTCTAAACATGACATATCCGTGGAAGCTGATGGTGGTGCAAATAAACCTGCATCATTGTAAGGCAGCTTCAGCAGAGTTGGTAAATTTTGTATAGAGCCAGCTTGTAATGAGGTACTGGAGCTGACGGCGTATGCAAAACGGAACAGCGCTATCCTAATACGGGGCTGTGATGCAAACGCATACAAAAATTCTGTACGAAGTTGGTCTACTTGATCAGGGTAATTCCCCTCGCGGAATTACAGATTATATTACGAACCGGTCAACCGGTTTTTTTCAAATCTCAACTATTTGAAAACCGGTTTTTGGAAAATGTCGAATAATCGATCACCCTAGTGGATATACACCTTTTTATGGTTCATAACCCTTCTATATAAACCACTCGCTACAAGTAAATCTGATACAAAATCTCACCAACCTTTATTATTACAATATTTGTTACCAGACAAGAAGGGGTTGAACTCCACAAGTATGGAGTAATTTTTCACTGTCTCGTTTTATTTTATCGTAATGCTATACCGCAGAATCATGTCAATTATAAACAATTATTCCCCGGTAGTTTGTTCCCTTGGGCTTTTATTATAGGAGAAGGAACAAACTCCCAGGGAGTTTATTATTTGGAACAGATTGAGATTATGGGCCTTGATATTTTAAAAACGGAAAAGAAAATATCCACAAACTGTATGTAAGAACTAATTAGGATATATATATTTTAAACTTAAAAAAATCTTAAAAAGTAATTATACATATGTATGTAAAAGCTTATTTGCGTTTTTTACATTTATTTCGACCTTTTCTCCGACGTCCTGGAGTTTTTGGAGATTTTCCATTCTTTTGTTTGGGCGCAACGGTATTATTTGATGTTTGTTTGTTGATGCGATTTACTGCACTTTGGCCACCAATTTTTTTTGAAGGGAGCAAATGCTGACTGACCAATTCGCCTAAAACTCCCTGATGTGCTAACATCGAAAGAAATGTACAGATAAATTCATCATAATTATGTGTACGTCGGCAATCATCCACCTGTGAAATTTGAATTTTTAAAATTAGATTAAATTTAAGAAAGAGTACGCATAGTAAGACCACCTTAAACATGTAGCGTCGATCATTTTCATCATTTAAATGTTGTTCATTAATTGCAATTTCCGAATCAAGATTTTTTAATAGTGACTGCAAGTCTCGTACAGTGAATGCGTTAGATGCGTCCAAAAGGGGAGAAGGTGAAACACTACGCTGTTGTTGTAATTGTGAGGATGATGTAGATGAAGAAGACGACTGATCTGTACCATTTTCTTCTGATTTTAATGCAGTCAGGCCATTGTCTGATGCACAAGCAGCTGCTTCATTGGCCTTCAAAAGTTTTTGTAAAGTTCCAGACACAATGGCCTGATTGGTGCGCAACATTTTCAATTTGTGCGTTATAGCTATTCGACGATCTGGAACTACTGCCATTAAATTGAAGCGAATATCCTGTTCGCCGGTAGCAATGCCAAGGCGTTCTGCCATAACACGCCTGAATTTATCCGTCCAGTCCTCACATTCTTCCCAGCCTCCATGGTCCATTGGATATGGCTTTAAGCCATCTAATTCAAACAGATGTCCATTTATAGGAACAAAACTTACAAAATGAAATGCTTCTCCAGTAAAGCGTCCCGTAGATACACCTGAGCCAGCATTTCGTTCCAATAGTCGCCTGGCTTGAGGCATAGCATGTGAATTGTGTGCACATGCGAGCTCTGGGGTATTGCCAATAGCCCAACCTTTATTTTCAGGAGACATGCCCTTAGTGTGACTTTTAAGTCTGCTTAAGGTATCTCCCAAATGTAGATCAGCTTCACTACAATTTAAGAGTACTGAAAGTAACGCATGAGTAGCACAACTATTTGGGACCACTTGCTGAGCGAAGAATATATTTGCTACTGCTTCATCATCTTTCACAAAGATTTCAGCTGTAGTTTCCACAATCTTTCTTCGTGCTCTTCTTTCTTCAATCCAACGGAAAAGGAAAATAAATCCATAAACAGGACCTTCTATTGGTTTCTGAAGATCATACACTTCTTCTACTTGCACTCCATGGACACCAAAATCTTCTAGCAATAGTGTAAAAAGTCCCGGATCTGATTCCAATTCTAACCAACCTTCTGTGAGACGATTAATGTCTACCGGCATTTTATTAGCCGACATAATAAATAAAATCTTTTACTGTATTATTTTGTTTCTATTTATATTTTATGCCAAATCTCTATTATTATTTCTGTGAATAGTAAACAAAAAAATAAAAGATGCTTTTAATTCAGAGACCTGCGCGACAAACATTAAGGCGACGGCGGCAGACTCTAAAAATTTATGCGGCGGCATAAAATCTATTGTAAAATTTTTTCTACGATATTGATTTGTAGCGGGATCCGAGTGAATAAAAATATTGATTTTAAAAGAAAATATTTTCAACTATTATTATTGTTGTTGTCATAGGTAAAATCATATTTTATATTTTAAGATAAATTTCAAACATATTCTTCTATTTGGGAAACCTGCTGAACGTATCGTATGAAATGTTTCCAAAAATCAGTATTTATGCACCAATTTTACTAGATTTTACTGGATAGATTGATTCATGATTTGAATCATGTAGAAATTTGGGATCTTCAGAAAATTCTATGCAACAAATATACGGACGTTAGTTGGACATAAAAAAGCACTTAAAAATTTTCCGCTTATAAAATCCGCTTGCATTAATGAGAAATGCATAAGTTAACCATACTGGTTAAAACTGACAGTCATCTGTTTTACATAAAAAATATAGAATTTGTAGAAAATTGTTTCGTTTTTAAGCATTATTATATATAAGTTCTTATAAAAAAATATATACATCATGGTTTTTCGTACTTTAATCCTACAAGTCGGAGCTAAACGGGTTCCCCTAATTAAATTCCGCAAAGGCGGTTATGAGACAAGCTCTGCCGCAGGCACAGCTGGAACAAATCAGGCGAGTTATATTCATCCAATATCTGTGGTCAAAGAAAATGTAATCGCTTTAATCTAACGTTCATTGAACATTTATTAACAATGGTTTTCAATTTAAATATATTGATTTAAATTTAATATTTACTATTAATTTTCCAGCAGAGCTCTGCCGCTATTGAGGATTGGGAATTGCCTCCACGTTTTGCTCGTAAACCAATTACTCCCGAGGAAATGGAATACATAAACCGTGGTGGTCCTGCTTAATCTATTTGATGAAAATTAACATCAACATAAATGAATACAATAATATCGACAAAAATAAATTTATAACAAAGCCTTAATTTTGCGGATTTTATGTGTTATGCAATCTTTTGGGAAAATTAGCATAAAGTGTATTTGAATAAGAATTTTATTAAAGATAAGAATATTTTTAAAGATGAACATTAGGGAGGTTTTTGTATAAAATGTTGCTTGATAAGTTAATCTATTGGGTTAAACAATGTTTTATTAATTGCAGAACAGCTCTTTAAGGCTTTATAGAGGATGAAGATTATAAGTGAAGTGCCATAACTTTTATAGTTAAAATTCTTATATTAAATCTTCTATTATTTTGAACTAATTCCGAAAAAAACATTAAAAAATATACCCTAATGAACATATTTTTAAGAATTTTTACATACACATGTATAAACCGAACTATACATATATCGTCATATAAAATCCAAAAAGCCCTAAGTTACAAACAAATCAAAATCGACTTTGATTGATTATGATGCACATTATCAAAATACATGTTCATGCTAAATTTTACACTCCTACAATTAAAATCAATGTCCCTAACAACGAAATTTTAAAAGATTAAATTACCTTAAAATTCCCTGAAGGAAATTGAACTGGTACCAAGCTAGTATTTTACTAGTACTTAGAAAAATCACCAATACCGGTACACCAGTTCCCAACTGTTGACTTACCTATACTATCTTAATGCTCAAATTAACATTGCGTGTTTTTGAAAAATTACTAGACCATTAGTTAGTTTGGGCGAATAAACATTTTATTATAAAATTATGTTTTTTTAAATATTCAGGTATGTGATGAAATTCATTTTTAAAATTCCTCGATCAAAATTCATCACACCTTTTCAAATCGCTCGAATTCCAACACATTCCGGAATGTTTTTATTCTATCAAATTAAACTGGTCCAAAATTCGGTTACAAATTTTTAACTGAACTATCAAACTAAAACATACATTTTTTCGAATGTAAATTTGTTTTACATATTTCATTAAAATTTTTAATAACATGTATTGTATAATCATAAAAATCCGATTTTTATCAGGAAAAACAGTTTAGTAAACCATTGTTTAAGTTAGCATAGCATAATGCAGTTAATTTTATAAATATTAAAAAATTTACTTTTTTGCAAAATTTAAATCTAACAAAACCGTTAAAAAGTAGTACCTTGCATAAATTTAATACTTTTTCATCAACAGTGTGGTGGTACAACCATGTGCAGATAAAGACAATTTAGACACAGGAATGGAAAGTTGTATATATTATATTGAAATAGTACCTTTTTTCTTTCCAACTTACTATAATCAAAAGTACGTACATATCGCTCATTTACTACATGAATATCATAACTCAAAAAAGATAATTTCGAGAAAAGCGGCTTTGAATGTAAAATACACTTTTAACAATAGAAAATACATATACATATCGTCACCAGAAATGCAAACAGTCCTAACCAAAAATTCAAAATATATTTTATTTTTGATTCCAATATATTGCATCAAACAATGTCCGCAAACAAATTAGTCTCCTCTGACCTAATAAAGAAATTTTATTAACAAAAACCATATATACAAAATCGTTTAAATATTAACACCCTTATTTATAACCAAATTTTTATATATACATATATATAATAGTATAGTATTTCACTACATGATAATGTACTTGTGTTATGAACTTTATATTATTACGTTTTCAAATCAAGTTTTATATTTTTGTTTTCAAACTTGTCTTTATAATTTTTCATAAAACATTTAAATGGGTTCCAAAATTTTCATAATTTTTTTTAAAGCTGAAAATTAATAAAAAATTTGTATAATATGTATAAACAAGGTAAAAAGTTTTTAGTACTCAGTTCAAAACTCAAAACCAAATATTGAAATAAGTCAATTTTATATTAAATGGACGCTAGGTAATTTTTTTATTTAATACGATTTTATATAATTTTGCTTCAAAAACCAATTGGATTTTGTAAATACCAAATGTAATGATCCAATTGCATTAGGTTTTACTAGAACATTTGCTATTAGTTTATTAATGATGAAATTATAGATAAATTAAAAATAACATCTATACCTATTGAGTGTGGTTGCACAACGATTAAGTTTATGGTACTTTTAAACATTATTTAGTACCAAACACAAGTGATATTATATCAACATTTCCATCCATGTGAAGTGATTTGCTGGAGGAAAATTTTCATTCACCAAAGTTTCGTGATTCGATACGGTTGTAAAAATATTTTGCGCATTTGTTATTCGTTTTTTGTGAGACAAAGAAGCAAAAACTTTGCATAGATACATTCTTAAAAAAAGGAATTTTATAAAATTAAATTAGAACTGAAAACGATTCAGAGTGCTCAAAGTGTTTTAAGTGCATGTTAAACAGAAATATAGAATTTTCAAAACCTTTTGGATGGGTTTTAGAGGAATGAATAAAAATTGGAGCAAGGATTGTTTGGGACTTCGTTTACGAGTCAGCGGACTTCATCAAACGTGGAAGTGGTTACATCAAACTGAAGCTTTGCACGAATATTTGATCTCCGTCACTGCGGCTGACACAGCAGCATCAAAAAAGTGTGCGATCCATAAAAAGTGTAACGAGTGCTAAAGTCCAATAATCCCAATTGAACCGCAAAATAAACATTAAAATATATAGATAATATATTAAAAATTCGAACAAAAGAATCCATAAAAACAAATCAGTAGACACTTTTTTAGATAAAATAAAAAAAACATTTCAAGTGCCTTAAATAGATAAAATATTAAAAAGAATAAATACCTATATACATTCAGACTATAAAACACATTTAATTAATATAAAGAATATACATAAAAATATATTGTTGTGACCTTAATAATTAAAAAGATTTTTTAAAACATTTCGATCCATTTGCTTACATTGGATTGATCACGCACACAGCCTTACTTTTTACAATAACTACCCCCTTACCGCCTAGGCCTAGGGATTGATTATCTGATAATTTAAATTATCTGCTGTCTAAACATCTGTATCTGTATACTAAATTCGAAAGAATTACTTGACAACAGGGGAACATACTTGCTCCGAAGATTGCGTCGTTTCGTTTTTGTTTTGTATACTCGTTGTCTTCTTATAAAGTACAAAGAAATCAAAACAAATATAGAAAACAAAAAACATACACAAATGATTTGAGACTTTTTCTTTGTTTTGGTTTGATTTACTTTTGATATTGTATGTGCATAATTTCAACCGAATTATTATAGTCTAAAGAGACTAAAAACAAATAATTGCGTCAAAATTATTTGTCTGCCAGTCTTTGGAACAGTGGTAAATTAGAGGACAAAATTAACAATCCACTAAGTGCAAGACAACATACGATTTTCCGTTTGTTTATCAATATATTTAATTGCACATACATCCGTCAGACGCAGCCAGTACATAAATTGGACGAGAAATCAGTTACTACCCTGTAACTAATACAATCAACGAAAATATATTTTTAGAACCAGAACATTTCATATACTGTGTCAAATAATCAATCGTTCGGTATGTTGTCGTTCAGTGCAATTCGCAGCAGTGGCAATTGTGCTCAATTGAGTACTATTTGCAGACTATTGACTACATCGCATCGATATCAGTCTTCATCTTTTACATCTCCCTCGTCGTCTAGTACATCAGACGAAAGCGGTCGTAACAGCAGCCTCACTAACAATGACGATCCAACCCGGAAGACTAGAGGAGATTCTAACAACAATAAAAGCAGTACTATAATAACTGATGCTGAGATTAAAAAATCTGTATTCATTTCGCAATCGTACGATATTTTCACCAATTTAGCATTGGAAGATTGGCTTTACAGGCATTTTGACTTTAACCGTCATCACGTTCTTCTGCTCTGGGCCAATGATCCTTGTGTTGTTATTGGACGCCATCAAAATCCTTTCACCGAGGCCAATGTATCAAAACTTGTTGATAAAGGAATAACATTGGCGCGTCGTAATAGTGGCGGAGGTGCTGTATACCATGATCGTGGTAATTTAAACTGCACATTCTTCACTCCACGAGAACGTTACAACCGTAAATACAATTTGAATATATTGACTCGTGCACTTTTCCGCGAGTGGGCTATTAAAGCTGAAATAAATAAACGTGATGACATTATCATCAATGACAAAAAGGTAATTAAACTAAAAGAGATTTTATGATTTATTCTTGCATGAAAAACATTGATTATATGAATGGAAACTACAAATTTTTATATAGAAATTTTAACCAATATAATGAAGACTGACCTTGAGCAATTCAAGGTCATAAGACCTTTTAATAAGATTAAATGAACTAAAACTAAAAAAGCTAATTTATATACAAACAAAGAATTTTCATCTTAATATCTATTTAATCTTAAGATAATGTTCTAAATTAATGTACATTTCTAATTTATTACATGTATTTGACATGTTATTAACGGTTCATCAAATTTACAGTGAATCAACTTTTTGCCTACCTTTTTTTAAGAGAATTTTTTTTTGTTCATAAATAAAATTCAAAAAAACAGGTAAAAAGTAAAACAAGTAAGAAAGTATAGTCGGGCGTGGCCGACCATATGATACCCTACACCAGTTATGAATATTAAATGTGATTTATTTTTCATAATATCGCATTTATCTTCAATATTCCCTTGTTCCGATACATTTAAGCAATTTATGGATGAAAAACTAATTTTCTGAAAGAGGCTTTATATGGGGGCTAGGGGAAAATATGGACCAAGCCCGATAAAATTTTGTGAATATATTTATATTTACATAATATTTTATTGTGCTGAATTTCATCGCGATATTTGTGTTTATAAGTTAATTTGGGACATTCAAGTAATTTTCTGAAGGGGACTTTGTATGGGAGCTAGGGTCAAATGGGGCCCGATCTTTATGAAATTTGGCAGGGTTATCAAGACTTCTATAAATCTTAGTTATGCCGTATTTTATCGATATATCTGTATATTTAACATAATTATGAGCTCAGAAGCCCTTTTCGGGGGGTTCTGTTCTATGGGGGCTAGGTGAAATAATGGACCGATTTTAACCATTTTCAATAGGCTTCGTCCTTGGGTCAAATAAAACATGCGTGCCAAATTTCATCCAATTATCTTGAAAATTGCGACCTGTAGCTTGCGCACAAGGTTTACATGGACAGCCAGCCAGCCAGCTAGACGGACGGACGGACGGACATAGCTTAATCGACTCAGAAAACGATTCTAAGCCGATTGGTATACTTTAAGGTGGGTCTAGGACGAATATTTTTATATGTTACAAACATCAGCACAAATCCAATATACCCTCCCCACTAAAGTGGTGTAGGGTATAATTATGTTTTCCAATTGAAAATAGAGATTATGTAGAATGGGAAAACCAAGAAAAAATATTAAAATAAAAATTTTGGTGCATTTGTTGTTGCATTTTATTATTTTTCATCAGAATTTGCACGTCAATAAAGTATTTTGCATATTGAAATTTCCAGTTAATTTCGTTGGGTTTTTCAAATTATTTTTTAATTGCTTTTTGGAATTTATTGTTTTATTGTTAAAATGACACGTGTTAAGTATTTTTCAATTGTAATTTTCAAAAATCATATCCTTATTGTGTGAAACTGTGTAGTTATTTGCGTCAAAAATGTTTAAAGGGAAATACTGAGGCAATTCCAATATAAAAAATTAGTTTATATTTTTAGAACAAGTATAAATCAATGAAATTCAATTATGAAATGTTTAATCAATCATTAAAAAATATAAAATATAGAAATTGATGAAATAACACAAAGAATTATTAAAAAAAACGCACTGAGTTGTCTTTCAAAATCTTTAACTGCCAAAGGAGAGCGACTTGTATCCAAGCAAAAACCACTGAAGTCCTCATTTTTCTTCTCCAAAGTCCATATACGAACTTAAAAGAATACTATGTTTAAATTTAGACCTCTAAACAGACCATAGGTTGCATGGAAACAATATAAAGTGACCTATCGTGTGGTACGGGAAAAATACTTAATTTAGATATTTACAAATAGAGGCCGTTCTCATCACCTAAGATCCACAAATGCAATATTTTTCAGCCAATACATACACTATATAGTTAGAACCCAAATCAAGAATAACTATCCAAATCCAACTACGCCTACTGTATTTTGTTCATAAAATAATGCATTCAAAATATGAGGTAGAATATCAAGATTCTAGCATGTAATAGTTCTATAGTGGTAAACGGTGATATCCCCATACTTAGAGTGGCTAGGATGGTACTTAGTGTTAGCTTTATTGAATAAGAATCAATATTATACAATTCTAAATGAAATTCACACAGTACTCCCCAAATAGATGGGGTTTCCGTAATGTAGTTTTTATTTATCAATACAAAATGACCAAAAACCCAGATTATATTTGTTATAATCTATAGATTTATACCCCACTAAAATTTTTTTCTAGGTCCAAATCCATTGATTTCCTAATATATCATGTATCCAATTCAAAATTACTTATTATTTTCGAAATTAAATCAAAGAAACGATAGATTTCATGTTAATTCAAATATTGAAAAATTCTTATAGGTATATAGGATAATAAATTGGTTAAGAAATGTCCAAACTTAGTCGTTCCACTACTAAAATATCTAAAAAATGTTATTCTAATACATAGGAGTAACAAAAATATTAAATTTTATAAAATAATGCAGCAATATTAAAAAAATGAACAAAAAACCTAAAAAGCAAAATACTTTATTGACCTTAAAAATTAACAATACGTTCACATTTTATCAAAAATCTCATTAATTAATATCACGATTTTACTTTTTATGGTAGAAAATTAAAATATAAGATATTCTTTAAAAAGTACAACAAACAAATTGGTTTATCTTGCTAAAAATAATTGTTCAGATAAAGTTTTTTTCTTAAAATTTATAAAATTTTACATAGGCAAATTACTTAATTGATTCACTGTATGTTTTTTAAAATAGAACATTTTCAATATAGATCCTAGATACCTATACAAAATTTAGTTAATAATGATAAACCCACTCTCTATAGCTTTATCTAAATAATAAGTGTTTCTTAGAAAAAATCGTTTACCTTTAAAAATTGCAAATACCGCAAAATTTTAAAAACAAATTATATGAAGTACATATATTTACACAATGTTGTAAGCAAAATGGCTTTTTTGTTCATCTCAAAACACAAGTACATATTTATATGAAGCACAAAGTACACTGTGCCTAAAGACCCAGACAAAGATACTAAACTTTGTAATTTTTGAAATTTGTTATGAATACTAATTATTTTTTTTATGCAAAATTGGTTTACACAGCATATTTTACCTCTTTGTAAAATACCCATTTCCCACCTCTACCTATCGTAGGTACATAATTATTTAAAATTAGCTTTAGACTAAAACTTTTAGTATATTGTTGTGTTATTTCATAGAACTTTTTGTCCATTGCAAAATTTGTATTATCTACTTATATGGCCAATTGGGTTCGACTTAATAAAATAAATGGAACTCAGAAAGATAACCACTGCCGATTTGAAAATGGCTGTGAAGCAGACTCTTTCCTCTGGGCTTTATTCTCACAACTCTTTGCTCAGAATAAAATAGTCTTTTAGCTTATTAAAAGAAATAATAACATATCAAATAAATTTAAGATCTTGATTTAGCCGAATAAACTCTTTCAATACTTTAGTGCTAGGAGAATTTTGGAATCAGTTTATTTTTTAATGGCCCATAAAACCATTTTAACATACAAGTACAAATCTGTTATCGTGAATATACATAACATATTTGTTTAAAGCTAAAAGGTTAAAACCAATCCCAACCAAAATTGCGTTTAAAGCTGAAACATGAAAATGTAAGTGATTGTATAAATGAATAATTTGCCTTTAAGACTTTTTTCTTCCTCTCTAAACAATTTGTTGTTTAATCTAATAGTTAAAGATAGATGTTTAAAGTTACCAATTTTAATTATCAGCATGGTTATTTTAGTTTAAGAAGGGTTACGCACCGTAAAAAAGGTGCAACTCCATTCGCTGACCATAATGCCCATTGTGCTCCCCTTCGTAGGAATTGAAGATGCAACAATAGAGAATTATATCATTAGAAAAATAAAAAGAACATCAAGAGATGACAGGACTAGAAACAGGTCGAATCCGAAAGTGTATTTGGTGGATTATTATTGTACTGTAAACTAATACCTTTTAGACTATAATTATATGTATAATTTAATGAACATAAATTATAAATTATTATTTATATAGAAAAAACTTGTTAAAAAAGTAAAAAAATAAAACTTCGCCATTTTTAAAATTTTGCTATCAAATTTTGGCATATTGATATTTTATTGTTGCATTATGTATATGCATATAGAAGTTGTGCTGTAAGTGAGCTTTCAATTTTATTCCTTCAATGTTCAGTATTTATAGCACAATATTTTCTATCCACAAACTGCAAATTTTATAAATTTGGATTCAACGCATAATTCATTGCCGGTAAAATATAATCTGTAGTAATTCGATATGCATAACCAGGCTACACTAACTCTCCTGTTGTAAGCCGCCATCATAATATCTAAAGTTGTAAAAAATTTAAGGGTTTCAATATTTTTATGGACAAATGGTAGAGAAGGACGTACTATATTTTAATACGATACATCAGTCAAAAATTTGATATTGATTTTTTGTAACATGCGAGTACTTTTAAACATTACTTATTTAGTTCTATGACTGTACCTGAAATTTAAATATCTACATATGTAGTATATCACACTAATATCATCAGCACACCTTGAAATTAAATAACTCGCTATGATTGTCAATAAGGCATATTTTTAACAAAGTACAATATTTTTAACAAGAAGAGAATTTCGTAGAATTCACGCATTGAAATCTCAGGAATGCGGGAATTGAAGGGATTTAAATAGAATTAAAACTCTATATGTATGTATGTTGTATATAAAGAATAAATGTATTAATTATATAGTCTTGGTTTTTATTTGATTATATTATCATTCTACAATAAATACATAGTATTTAGAATTCTATTTTTGTATTGGTATTGACTTTGAGAGATTTGTTTGTTGTTTTCTTCTTTGTACTATGAAATTTGTTATCTTGTTGTCTTTTGTATTAATTATATTTGATTACGTATTACCAGGCTGGTGCCTTGTGACCTATAAACTAGTATATTTTTCCATTCATCTATATTTCATAGACGTTTTATTGAGAAATTATATACTACTAATTAATGTCTGTATATTATTAACTATTGTAGATTTCTGGAACCGCTGCTAAATTGGGACATCCGAATGCATATCATCATTGCACTTTACTAGTGAGTGCGAATAAATTACATTTGGGTGAAGCTTTGGTCAAAGAAGATGTATGTATATGAAATAAAATATAGCAAAACTTGAGATTTAATAACATAATAATTACATATTTTATTTTGTAACTTGCTTACTAAACTTTAGGCAAACTATATTAGCAAAGCTACTGCTTCGGTGCGTTCACCTATAAGAAATCTCTGTGATGTAAATCGCAGTGTTAATGTTCCGCAATTGCTGTCAGCTGTGGGCTATGAGTTTTTGCGTACATCTGCCACAGAGCTGGAAGATGGTGGTAGCACTCAAACAATGAAACAACGTGGCTTTCAGCTGGTCAATCCGACAGAGAAGTGGTTCCCCGGTATCGAAGAATTACGCAAGGAATTTAGTTCATGGGATTGGGTGCTTGGCAAAACACCCAAATTTACTGTAGAAAAAGATTTGGCACTTAAAGCCGACAATGACAAGCAGCTTAAAATGAAACTTGCTGTCGAGGTGGATAAGGTATAAAATAATACCTATTTGGAAGAATATGTCATTTGATATAAATTTTTATTGCAATATTTTCAGGGGTTAATGTCTGAAATAACAATTGTCATGCCAAGTGGTGAGCGTCTACCAGTCGTTTCTCAATTACAAAACAAACCATACAACGAAAAAAATCTGAATGGAATTATTAAGGCTTTAAAATTGGTGTCAACTGATAACGTTAAACAGGCCATTAACAGCATGTGAGAGTTGAATTTGATTTAAGTTCGAAAATGTTTTATCACAAATATAAATACATCTTTAGCCGTTACATTTTTTTACGATCAATTGTTATTTTTCAAAAATGTTAGTTCTTTTTTTTGTTAGTTAACCATACTAAATGTCAAATACAATCTTTGTATTTTCAAATCATTTATTACTCTAATATTCAAAATAAAATATACATATATGTAAATGTTAAAGAATTCTTTTAGTTGTATTTAAAGGTGAAGACAAATGTAAGTAAAACATAATATTATTACATTTTACCTTTTAAAACGTTGGTTAATTTTCATTTAAATAAAGTGTATAAACTGTATGTATTTCTATTGCAAATTAAAGCGCAAAGTAGTTCAACTTTTTATTTACACAGTTTTATACTATAGTTTTATGAACTGCATAGGGTATTTATTTTACAACACAGTTTTATGATCTACAAATACGTAGTACGCTTTATTATCTCTACACATCAAAATTTCACATTACAGTAACTCATTTGGGTTCTTGTCGCGACTATTTATAACCGTGCACCATCTAGATATTTACAGCATCTTCTAGTGACACCTTTCGGATATTTTTTGCATTCACTTCTACAATAATCGACTCAAAGCATTTATTCAATGTTGCAATATTTCAATGCAATCTTAAAAATATCCACAGTAATGTTAATATTGTCCACAATTAATGCAGTTAATCGGCCGGTAACAACATTGTCCACAATTAGAAGTCTCCAGACATAGCCATCTTGAGAAACATAATGAAACTTGAAACCAGCCGATACAACTTCAATTCAAATACAATTTCGTAACCGTCTGCTTAAGGTCCCAAATATTATTATATTAATTAATCGAAGCAGTAAATTAACGAAATTCAGCCAAAATGTTGATAATATTGGCTTGGTACATTCACGTGTAAATTTCGCAAAAACTGTTATAGTTAATTCAATGAAATTCATTACACTTTTGTTACTCTACAAAAAAATGATTCCTGTTGAAAATTTTCGGAATCGGTCTGCCATTAAGTACATGTACAATACTATCTGCGAATTTTGTAAACTTTGAACTAAGTTTGGATGTGAATTCAATTCTAACGTCCATATTAGTGGGTAGTATGCTATAACAGCTATAAGAATTTTACCTAAAAAACTTAAAACGTGTTTGTTTCATTTGAAGTTCAAAAGATCTCTGGTCGCCATTGATATGTTCTCTTACGTGTTTTTGTTATTGCGTTGTTTTCTCCATTTTCTAATTGGTTTCAACATTGGAAACTAGATTTTTTAATGATGTTCCTATTTGTTGATCTATAAATGATTCCGCAGGATTCATAACATTTGGAGAATTTGGATTAAGCGTTGGTCTATAGATTTCCAATAATGTTTGGAGTGCTGTGGTTTTTCTGTTTTTTTGAGAGCAGCTTTAGAGAGAGTGTTCTATAGTTTTTATTCCTTACACCAGTTTTGATATTGTTCTAAGTAAAACTGTGACCGAAACTATTTGTTCAGGATTTCCAAATTGTGCACAGTAATCGTTCATAATTTTTATTTAAAAAATGAGTCGATAATAAACAGACAATACTTATTTTTTGAAGGCCAATATTTATTCTTTCGAGAATATGAAATCTTTAATTTGTAATAGACTGTTCTGCAATAGACTTATTTGCGAGCATGATGTCGTCTATATAATCCTTGGCGCCATCTATATTTTAATTTGAATAAACCGCTTTGAGTGTCTATTGTTCTTTTCTGTCTGAGTCCACTTCGACTTAAAGATATGCATCTGACAAATCCGTTTGTATGTGCATTCTGCCTTGATATTGAGATTTGAATCCAGTTGATTCCCATGATGTTTGGGTTTGATTAAGGTTTCCCACGTTTCAACAGAAATTATCTAAATATCCGATGCTTTGTCTATCTGAATTCGAATAGTGTTATTTATGATTCTCAAAGTTGTATACATACATACTTTGGTTTAGCTAAGAATGGTAGCCACTCAATCAGTCATGAGTGGCTCACATGGGTCCACCCAATTGCGGTATCATTTCAGTCTGTAATATTGAATAGATCACATTGCATGTGAACTTGCGGCGACGATGGTGCGCTGACACGGTTTTTGCTGATTGAGGTTATAGGCCATGTGTGAAATGCTGTTGTAGCCCTTTCCTGACTGGCGAGAAGAAAATGCTATTTCATGGTTGGTAGTAGTAGAGATTAAAAAATTTTTGCTACAGGTAATAAAAGGTGATGGGACGATATGGTTTTCCTTGAGTAGCGTGATATCTGGTAGATATGATTCTACACGTTCAACAGAACAGGTTTCAGTAGGGATGGCATTACTAGTTCCAAAGTTGTTGTTCATCAATCATAATTAGATTTGTTTTCATTCATTCTAGTTTATTTAGAATAAATTTTAAAAATTCCATGCGTAAATGCTGTATTATGTAAGAATATGCATTGTTTTTATGAAAATGATTCAGCCTAAAATCATTATTTTATTGTTGTGGCAACTTTCTAATGAAATTAAAAACAAAATAGTTGTTCGCTAATACATTTTTAAATATTGAAATTTAAAATTATACCCTAGATAGGTATAACAAAAATAGATTTTAACAATTTTTATTAAAAAAAATATAATCAAGAATGGAATTGTTTAACATAATACTTATTGATAAAACATTAAATGAGTTAATTTTTTAGGAAAAAACTTCCTATTTGACACAATGAGATAGACATAATACATATACCAATTTTTTACAGAATTGTAATCACTTATTATACTTATTCACACGTTAATGTCAACGTCAACATTAAATCATTAAAAATATGTGAATTAATTTTAAATTGCACGTAGATTCATAATCCGTTTTTGACATTAAGATATATTTTCAGTTTTTATCAACTCCAAAATGTTTTGATAATCTGGATCTCGAGCAAAGAAATCGGTCAAATAACGAAATGTTGGACGATCCTTGGGTTTGTAATTCCAACAGTTTTGCATAATTTTATAAATATGATCTGGACAAAGATGTGGCTGTGGCAAACGTTGGCCATGTTCAATTAGTTGTATTGCATCTCTACCAAGTATATCACCATAAGGCGGTTCTCCCAATGAAAACATTTCCCAAAGTGTGATACCAAAGGACCATACATCACTAGCATGTGAGAAAATGCCATTGTTATAGCTTTCGGGGGCGTACCTGTACAAATATAAAATTATTTTCTTATTTTGTTATTCTTTAGATAAAGTATTGTTCTAAAACCGAGCGAATGTATATTAAAAACTACTTATTAAGTAGTGTATTTAATCTTATACATATGTAATTACATGTACTAATGTACCTAAATATATAAAATACGTAGTAACATCCATATATTTACCATTTAATGGGCCATTTTCCACCTTGACTGGCTTGATAACACTCATTGTCATTGCCTAATGCGCGTGATAAACCAAAATCACTTATTTTAGCCTGATTTCGAGATGCAAGTAAAATATTTCGAGCTGCCAAATCGCGATGTACATAATGATGATGCTCTAAATATTGCATGCCTAAAATATTAAAATTTAGTAATGTTCCAAGGATAAAACATGTATTTATATTTGCACATACCACAAGCAATTTGAGATGCCCACAATTTCAATTCATAATTTGGATTAATTTGGTCTCTGTGATCTAGTATGAAATGCAACATGGAACCAAGTGGGACTAATTCCTGAACCATCATTAATGTATCACCTTTTGATATTCCGATTAACTGGACAATACAGTGATGTTTAAGACGTATCATTACTGAAGCCTCGCGTAAAAATTCTTGTTTATTACTGCGACAATGTTCATCACGTAGAGTCTTAATGGCAACTTCACGACGTTTAACTTCAGCTCCAGATTCAGTATTTCTTTGTAGTAAAAATCCCCTATAAACAGAACCAAATTCACCCTCCCCGACAATAGATTCTAGTATCAAACAATCTCTCGATATAAGATAATTTGGTTTTGCAACTTCAACGCCTGATACAGCGCAAGCTGCTTCTGAAACTTGGGTTGTTATCGATATGTTACTGGTTTGTCGGTTTAAATAGCGAGCAATAGCACTTTCATTTGATGTTGTAGATATTAGAGAGTCGAGACGTTCTGGATGTTTGGAAAATTCTCGCAATTCTGCTGCAGAAGCCTCCAACATATCATTCGAATGAAATTCTACACCAGGATCTGAACGTTCCATGAATACTCTAATATCAACTGTTGGTATGTATCCATTAGCATTTGGCACAAGGAGTGAACTGTATAAGATACAAAAAATATTTACATTGATTTGTTAAAAATGAAAATCACACTTGGTCTTACTTTTGGCACAACTTATTGCTGCGTTCACGTTCAATTACTAAATCACTTTTAGTGAAATATTCAACTTCTTCATCAGTCTTTTTTTCAATTTCTGACGAGATTTTGGAACTGGCATCTTGAATTTCTTTTAGTATTGCATTTCTGTCAATAGCTGAATTGTTTTTGGGAACATTGTAAAATTCATCAGAGTTTACGATGCCACTATTCTTTCCACTTGTGTTTAGACCGGAAAATTCTGTTGAAAATGATAGACCCTTTAACAAGGTCTCAGCTTGTTTCAATTGTTCTTCGTCATTTAGACTTACGCCATTTTTATCTTCTACCGAATGCGACTTTTGCTTTTGTTTATTTTTTCTCAATGTACTCATACTTTCCAATAATCCTGACTTTTTGGGACTTCGTAATCGAAGAGTATTAAATACAGAATTCGTATTTTCTTTAGGTTTTTTCTTTATGTTGTTGTGATGATGAATTGTTGCAAGCGTGTGTGTATGTTTTTGTGGCAAATTGTGAAGAGTATTCTGTGAACCTTCATCAGTGGATTTTTTTTTACTTTGTGGCACAAGTATGGCATCAGATGATTTCTTATGACTGGATCTCGGCATAGTAGAAAATAAAGGCAAAGGTGGTTTTGGTTTCGGTACAACAGGATATTTAAGATTAACTGGTAAACCATCTGCAAAACGCATAAAATGCTCCACTAAATGTTCCAACGACGGTAAAAACGGACCATCATCAATGAACAAATATTTGGACTATAATAAGGAAAAAATAATACATAAATAGTTAGCAATATACATATGAATGGCCGGTCCACATTGGATTATTTTATCGATTTCCGTATCGAAAATGGTTATTACAAATTTTGGATTTTTGATAAAAAAAGTTAAATTTCCGAAAAGCTGAGATAACGTACTACACTTATACAGACTAAGTTTTTAACACATCGCTTTTAAGTACAAGAAAATAAAGTTTGAAATTAGGCATTCTTAAGGCCCAAATAGACTACACAAGCGGCTTATCAAACATATTTTTTTCACTCGCACACACACTACACAAACATTGCTCGTGCAAACACCGATTTTTTCACGTTTTTGTGGACTTGCAAAGATACAGATGACAGTTTTTCTTAGAAATGTAAATTTTGTGAAAAATTTGTTATTAACAAATATAAACAATACAAACGGTTTGAAAAAAATTCAATATGTTTGTGTAAAAATTATTTTTTTTAAATTTTTATAGAAACAAACAGCAAGCATTTGTACAAACACGAAACACTCTCATACACTACACAACAGGCTTGCACAAACGTAAAATATTGGTATTTTTGTCAAGCCGCTTGAGTAGTCTATTTGGGCCTTTACATTAGAAATTTAAAAGTATTTTGAAGCTCAAAGTTAAATGTATTTTTTATACTTTTAAATTAAAGTTCAAGTATGTGCTATACATTTTTCAATAGGGGATACATAATAAATAATACTAGACCCAAAAGACACATTTGTGTCAAATTACATCATATTATCTTGAAAATTGCGACCTATATTTTGGTTATGACTTCTTTAAGGACACATGGATGAAAGGACATCGTTAAATCGATTAGGGAGGTTAAAACATTAGCTAAAATACATAATTTCCTCTTCAATATATAGCAGTGTATGGTAAGAATAGTACAAGTCCAAATTGATTGTAAAAGTAGCATAAAAGAACTTGACTTTAACAGCCTGTGATACCCTCTGCACGAATATGATGAAACTCATTAATATGACGGAAAAAAGTCTTGTAAATACATGTCCAGATCTTAAAGAATGTATGTAGAGAAGCAAGGAAGTTATTTTATCCACTGTGCGCTCCACGAAAAAATTTACTCACTTTATAGAAAATATTACTCATTAACCATAAGTCCGATCTAAGCGAAAATTTTAGCAAATTTTTCAAGTGTAATTTCATGCACATTTCAATTAGAGCTGTAACATTTTAATTGTACTACCTGTTTTCCCAACTTTCTAGCTTTTTCACTATAATTACTGAAACTTTTGAGTACTGAAACCTGGCGACTTTTGTTACAACAAAAACAAAATTAGTTTGAACAATTGCTCCAGGCCATTAACAGCACTTTAATGCAACACATTTTGTTACTTAATATATATATACATACCTGAAACGCAAACGGTACTAACTAACCAAAAATCCAAAATCTTAATGTTGACTCTAATTTATTGCATCAAAACAAATGTCCACAAAAATTGGACTTCTCCAACCAAAATTAGCTATTTTATTGACAAAAAACAAAAGGCTCTGTCTAAAAAACATTTATGTATGTAAATATTAAAGGTAAAAAGCCCAAATTATCCTTTTTGTATACGCCACTGTCAACTATCATAACAGATGATAGGTTTCACTATAAAACAATATCTATCATAACAGATAATAGGTTTCACTATAAAACAATAGGGCCGTTTGCGTTTTAGGTGACGATATATAATTACTGAGTTTGTGCCCTTTAAAGATAACTCAAACCTGTTCTCAGCTATAGTCAAAAAAGTAGAATTTTTTCAATGGAGTTTCCAATTTCAGTTTTTTTTTAAACTTTGTAAAACAACTTTAAAAATTTTCTAGAAATCTCATGGAGATTTATAGACCATAGCTAAGGGAAACACGATTCACAGGACATCTTAATATATAGTATTTACCTATACTACGGATCTCTAAGCAAATGCATAAACGTAAGGGGATCTGATAGTTTTAATTAATATTTTTGAAAACAAAATGAAGGCTGTTTTAGTTATCAAGCATCAACATTTTTTCTCTAAACATACTGCTACTCACTTACTACACTTCTCATCATTCTAAAGTATTTCATATAGTTTTATCTGTTTTCAAGAGTGTCTATTGATTCTGTCGTGAGTCACATATATTTGATAAGTAAACAAAATTATTTATATTTAGAGAATAAACGTTTTAATGTAAATCTGGTTTTACTTATCAATTCCCTTAATAGCTTAAATAATTTTTAAAAAATAGTAAAATGTCATACAACATTCAAACATAATAAGCGATATGTAATTTTATATTCTACTTATAAAGCGGGTCACAATATTCACAATTTCAATCAAAAATCAATGTAATATGAAGTACGTACTTAGTTCTGAATTGTTTCTAATGTGTACATGTTCTATAAAGTTTCGTAAAAACCATATCATGGTAAAAACTAGTTCATAGGGCGACAATTTCGAACAAAAATTGATTAATGAATTGGTAGGTTTTATTACCAATTAAATAGAACGAATGTTGACAACGAATGTCTACAATGCTTTTACAGAAATGGTTATAAATGCGGCAAATTAAGTTGTGTCTCAGTGTTTTCTGTGTCAAAAGTTGAAATTTTATTTACGGTGTAATCTTTTAAATGCTTTCTGAAATTTCGGTTAGACAAACATGGCACTAAGATATAGAACAATTAAATGCGTCGAATTTAGATATACAAAAAAACTTTGTTTCTCGCTTAGCGCGCACGGAATTAATATTGACTTTTAGCACCTTTTTTGACATCTCAAGAATAAGCTCTGCCATTTTTTATTTAGTTATATAAAATATCGCAGAATAATGTTTAATTTTACTTACCGATTGTGATATAATAAAATTTTTAGCAACATTGTCAAAAAGCAAAGTGAGAACGTAGCCTGAACCTACATTTTTTCTTTCCGAAAAACGCACCAAAAAACAACCAGACGTATCGACATTTTCGTTCAACGTAGATGCGTTTGAGGAATCAAGTTTGTCTCTTTGCATATTTGCAGCAAAACTCTTTAAAACATTTACCGCCTCATCTCTCGTCAATGTTCCATGGTACCATTGAGATTTGAAGGCATTCGCTGGCCCCAATTTGTACGCCTCTAAAAACGAAACTACTTCTATATGATTGGCTTCCTTAGCCAAATCAATTGGAAATTCACCCATAGATGTGCGTGGCAACAGAGGAGCTTTAACAGCCAATAACTCCTTAACGGCATCCAAATTGCCATGTTTGGCCGCTTCGTGCAATGGAACATAGCCATTTTTTATATTTCGTCCCTGAACATTAGCATTGGCCGCAATTAGAGTTTGTATAAACAGAGCTGGCTGATGACGACAGGCATACTAAAGGACAGAAATTTTATAATTAAAAAAGTATGGAAAATATGTACATATTAATATTTATTTATGCATTTTCTATGTACTTACATGTAGTGGCATATAGTTATCAGTATCCATACAATTTACACTTACACCAGCATTAAGCAATAAATTTAACATTGTTTGATCGCCATGCAAGGCAGCCAGGTGCATTGCCGTCTGTCCATGTTGATTCTTGGCATCTACGTTTCTGTAACCACATTTAAGAAGTTCCGATACAACTACATGATTATTGTTCATTACGGCTCGATGCAGAAGGTTGGTACTGCCATGGCTTCGCGTGTCATTGGGAGGAGGATCTTTTCGTATGTGTTTAGTAAGTTTCGTTACTAAACCATTTGCAGCTTGCTGATAAAAGTCGACCAAAGTGTCCAAACCGTGAAGAATTTTGACTTTATCTTCAATCGAGAAGAAGGCATCTTCACCATGACGTCGTATTTGATAATGACAAACCTCGCCCTGGTACAATAACGTCAATACAAAATCGCCAGCAGCTGTATTACTTTCCCGTACTAAAAACGTACCATCTTCACCACCCTCTACACAATAATTTATTATTAAATATTAACATTATTGAAATTAATGCAGGGAATAGGTAATAATTACCATTTCTTATAAGTTCTTCGGCGTATTCTCGTGAAACCTTTCCATGAAACCAAGAAAGATGTTCATCTCGATTCATAATCAATTGTAACCTTTTTTAATTATTCAAAAACTCGACATATAATAATGTATTCAGAAGTTAAATAGTGATTGTTAAAATTAATGTACACATAAAAAGTAAAATAAATTAAAACAAATACAAAAAATACAATATGATCACTGATCACAGTTCTGTGCTGGAAAAATTAAATACGGCGTCATTTTTTTAATTGATTCATATTAAAGCTGCCAGATGTAAAATAAAAATGTGGCCAGATGTGGCAATTTAATCTAGGAAAATAATGAATACTTTTACGCTTTACCTTTTAAAACATTGATTTATTTTCCCTTGAAATAAAGCGTCCTATTTTATTGCAAATAACTTTGCTCAGTGATTATTTATTACAAACTGACTCATTTAGGTTCTTTTCTAGATATTTCCTGAACATTCTAGCGACACCTTCCGGATACTTCAAGCATCGTTTAAAGCTGTATGGCCACACGTCAAAATTTTTATCAAAATTTGTTTATGGGTTAGTAAAGGCCTCTTCAGACGATCGATATTACAAATTCAGATCATTTATCACAAAATACTTCAAAGAGGAACATACTTAAATCGCAGGGTATACAGAGGCACAGGGTATACAGAGGCGTCACGAGCAAAAAACTATTTCCCTCTCTTTCGCACAAAACGAATTCAATAATTTTTTTTAGCTGTATTTTATACACCTCTTCTCACCAAACAATTTCAACTGATTTTAGACTTTTTTAAATGTCAAAAGTGACACCTCTGTATACTTTGTGACAGAGGCGTCACGAGCAAAAAACTATTTCTATCTCTTTCGACACAAGTTCGACACTATTTTTTTAGCTGTAGCACAATTTTCACAAAAGCTAGACAACATCTGATTTTAGATTTTTTTAATCGTCAAAGGTGACACCTCTGTATACTTTGTGCTTAAATGTGAATTTGTATCTTCATTAGATAGCGTAAACGGTATTTGTGGTATTCCAGCAAAAAATAATTGATGTCATACTTTACAAACAACATCTTAATCACATCTTAAAATGCGATTACATATTTTTCACTTTTATAAACCAAATATTCCCTTACAAATGAAAACCCATTTAAAAGTAAGGAAAGAGATGTGGAAAAGTCATTACAAATAACATATTTGAAGTACATCAAGATTTGGTGAAAGAGTAGTGAAATTTACATAAGCGTGTCATTAAGAGAATGTCTTAAAAATAAGATTAGATGTAGTTCAAAGTTGCCAAAAATGAACAACATCCCTCCAATGACACGCTAATGTAAAATTCATAGGTTTTACACCCGAATTTGAAGCACTTCGGGTTACTAGTTGTGATGACACTTTTTTTGCTGGGACATACAATAAAAAACTGAATAAAATATTTCGAATTTTTAGGATTTCGCAGAAAATTAACCTTAATTCCTTACTATATAAAAGTGAAATATATGTTTGTAACACCTAAAAATATTGGTCCTACACCACACTTAGTATACCAATCGGCATATGTCCGTCTGTCTGTGTGTATATATAAAGCTTATACTCACGCGCAATTTTCATAAAAATTTCATGTGCTTATGATGGCGCACACGATATTTTTTTTTTAACAAATTGTCGCATTATTGTTGTCTTCTGCAGGCCTTTAAACCTTACCCCCCGAATAGGATTTTTGAGCTCATAATTATGTTAAATGTTCTAATATGTCAGCAAAACTTAGTTTTAGAAAAGTTTATATAACACTGTTAATTTTACAAACTCCCCCTCAGAAAATGACTTGAAGGTTATAAACACTAACACGATGAAATTCTGCCCATATTTATCCTTACCATATATATAAGCCCTCTTGTAGAAAATATCCGGGATTAAGGTAAAAACAAATTAAATACTTTATTATTTAAAAAACAATCCAAATTTTTAATATACTCACTGGTGTAGGGTATTATATGGTCGTCATGCACGACTATACACATTTATACTTGTTTTATAATTGTATAAAATGTCCCTAATATGTATATGAACTAAATATTCAATTGTGAGAGAAAGTTGTAGGTGATAGAGAAGAACAGATATCGGGTTCGATTTCAGCAGCTAAAGATACATCAGTCGAATTGGTGTTGTATAATTTATTTTAGTAACTACTATTTCATTCGATTGCATTTTTGCTTTCAAAAAATTGCAATTTTTCCCATTAAATATGTATAAACAATTAACTTTGTGTGATAGAAATTTTCTGTTAATTTGAAAACAAAAGGTACAGATTTATATTAATTACCGTTATTTCAAAGATTCTTAATTGGAAAATAACAAATACAGGCATGTTTTTATGTATGTTATTTTTTTATTTCAATTTTGTTTTTTTTTTTTGTATATAAAAAATTAAAAAAAATCAATTATTCATTTTAATCGATAACATAATAATTTAGTATTAGTATTATACAATATTTGCATATTTATTTTAAATATATGATTATGTAAAAAAAAAACAAAAAAGTAGTAGTTCTTAAATAATATTAATAATATTAAACTTACAATAATGACTTTTAGTATTTTTGTTGCTATTTGCATAAAATTATATTAATGATAGAAATTATTATCAAATTATAAGTAGATTATATAATGATTGTTTAACTAAGGGAAAATAATAAAGCAAGAAACAAATAGAAAACATTTTTTCATAGTCTATTCATAAATATTTTAAGAGCTTATTACTTTTATATATGTAAGTAATATATATTTTTTGCATATTTCCATTTTATTCCGATATAGAAAGGTTTAAACTGGCGATTTTAAACCAGTCCACAGCGGAATGAAAAATTGGAAAATATGACTTTAATTCGAATGTGTACGTGTTTAATTATTATATTTTTTTTTTTGGTTTTCTAATTTAAATTTGTTTATATATTTTTTTATTTTGCAATTCTTTTGACTTAAAGCACTTGGAGTGTTCTAAACAAGTATTTATATACATAAAATAAAATTAGGTTCATATTTTTTTCAGAAAAAATAACAGAAATTAAAATAAATTAACTGAATAATATTTTAAAAGGAAACGTATTAAACAAAAAAAAAGTAGTACAGAGTTTTATAGTTAAAATTAGTATAAATAATAATTAAGTTTTTATAAATAGTAAAAAAAAACTAAACAATAATAATAATTAGTTTTGTTGTTGTAGAAATCATTGAGGTTTTATGTCTTTTTGTGTGTATGTTTTATAATTTTATCAATGAAAACAATATTTCCTGAAACCATTATTGTTGTTTGAAAACATCTGGCGAAAATGGCTTCAAACAAATACAGTTTTTTCCATACATTTTAATCAATGTAATATATCGGATGTGTTAGAGATACAAAAACAGTTTGTTAACTTATTTTTTTTGTCTTTGTGGTCGTTAGTTTTAGCATCTGAAACTAGTGGTTAGTAGAGTTTGAATATCTTGTTTTTTTGTTTGTTTTATAAATATGGACGAGAATCCATATAAATAAGTGTGTGTGCGTTAAACTTAAGTTTTTCAAGTTTCTCTTTTTAACTTTTTTTCGTCATAATGCACTTTATAGTTTTATAGTCTAAAAGGTTCTCGTTTCTCCACAGGTGTTGTACCACGGGATGTCCGACTGCGCATTGTTGAGCTGAATGTTGGTTCCGCAGAACTTTTTCTAGGAGTTTGCATACCTGATGGTGTTGAAGTGCCACTTACAGTGCGCCTTAGAAAGGAAAAAAATACAGCGTTAAAATTATGTTTTAAATTATATTAAAAATATAAATAACATACAAAACACAAAATTAAATAAAAAAGCATATAAGATACGAAATAACTTTAGCAACGTACTTATTAATTATAGACATATACAAGGCACATAGATATATACATATTTTATTAGGGAGTACAAGTTTTTTCTCTCTCTAATAATATTGCATATCATAGACAAAACAAAAGTAGCAAATAATGTAACAAGAACTATAATTTATTGGTTTCCCCTTATCCATAACAAAAATTTCGAAAAATAAATATCTTCTTATGAATAAGAGCTTTACCCCGGTATTCATAAACGCTTAATAAAGTTATTGATGGTTTATTGTTGGAATTTTTTTAAAACAAATCTGCTTAATAAACCGAAAATAAACGAATAATAACTTTATGAATATGTTTATTTATTTGGTTACAGAATCCCATCCAAAGAACGAAGAAAACGGTTATCTTATGGATTTCTTATTCGCAGGTCATAAATCCTTTAAAATTTCTATTAAAATTTATGCCAATTACACTCCTGATTTGGTAAATTTGAATTTAATAGAAGAATGTAAATAGAGATTAACTCATATTGTTTTGCATGCTTAACTATGAATTTTGAAATTATAAATGTTAAATTTAAATTGTTTAGCATAATTTTATCAAGAGCATTGCTTTAAAATGTAATAGGCTTTAGCGTAGCAATTTAAAGGAATAAACAAATATATGTACAGATTTGTCAGTATGTCAAATTTCAATCAAAGTTTTCGATCGAACAAAGACATGCTTATGGGAAAACAAGCAAAATCAAAATAAATATATAAAATTCAAAACTGAACAGCGGAAACAAGCGAAAACAAATTGAAACATAAATGCAAAAAAAAAAAAAAAAAAAATTCATAATTACTTCTCGTACTTTTACAATAATTATTTTTGTATATTTTGTTGATTTTCTAAAACAATTGGTTGCAAATATGTTGTATGTATGTTGTGTAGTATATAATAATAATATTTATGTATATGTACGAGTATATGATTGTGTATAAACGTGATTAACGATGTTTACCCCAAATTGTTAGGATTAATCACACTACTTGAAGTGGAGTTGGTTGGTGAGGAATTAGCACTCAATGAATTTGATACTTTAACTGGTATCCTGGACATACGATTGCTTAATAGATTACAATTTGTTTAGCATAATTAAAGGAAAAAAGTGAAAAAATATTACAAAAATTATTAATATTATTTATAGGCCATATGTAAATACTTAAGATAAGATACAGAAAAACATAGATATAGAAGTTGTATATGTAAGAGTCAAAGATTTAAGATACTTAAAATTAAACAGATATACTAAAGTAACTGATATACACTAAATTATTACAGTTAACAGGAAATAGGAATAAAACGTGTATGATATGACATTTGTTTAGTATGTATGTATGTAATTTTGTTTGTTTTACCTAGTTTTGAAGCCATAGCCTGTTAGTGCTGGTATACTGGATGATCTACTCATGCCTCCGTTGCTATTTGGGTATTTGTTTGTATTTTAATTATTTTAGTTTTTGTTTAGTTTGTGTATTAAGTGTTTTTTTTTTAGTTTCGGTGTAAGGGAAATTCAGTATTAAATGTTGATGTTGTTTTAGTTGGTGTTTATTAAGTGATCAGATTTATTTTCGTTTCGATTGTAAAACAAAAGTACATGCCAATTTATGATGATGGTTGTTAAAATTCGAAAATAAAAAAAATTAAAAAAATAAGTATTAAAAATTAATAAATATTGTAGACATTAAAAAAATAACTACTAAAAGGATGTATGTAAATTGATGTTTCCTGTTAAGTAAGAAATCTAATAAGATTAAAAGTTATGCCAGTATTTAAGTAGTTTCATTTCAATTATTTATTCATTCAGTTACAGAATCCCAGCCAAAGGCCATAATCGGTTCTATTAATAATACCTCAACAGACATTTATTGTTCAGTTTTCATTGCATTGGCCGAATTCAATTTTATTAATAATTTACTTTAATTTGTTTTGCTTACAAAATGTTGAGTTTGTTTGTGTAAACAACAAAATCCTTTGGCATAACTATTCTTGAGTTTAGGGCAAGTATTTGTTAGTTGATTATTAATCAGATGAATTATATTATTTAGGGAAAAGTAATAAATAATATATTAAAGTATTGCTAAAATTAATATCATTGAAAAATTAAAATGAATTCTAACTTATCATATCAAGATAATTTTTATTTTGTTTATTTAAAAGAAATAGAAAATAATTGTAAATCAAAGAATATATAATTTTCAACATGCAATAAATTGAATCGGAATAATTATTATTTGTACATCAAATTATGAGATGAAAGAAAGTAAGGCTAGTCATATAAAGAGCTTGATGTTTAAAACAAGAAAAAATTAACATAAAAATATTTAACTATGATTGTGAAATGCCTACATCTTTAATTAGTTATATTTAAACAAAATACCTAATTTGAATTGATTTATGACACGAGTTGAATTCAAGGCATAAATAATTTTCTAAAAAAGGTGAAATTCGATATTTTTCTACCAATATCTTTTTAAGTTATACATAGGATAGATTTTCATACTTATGTAAGTTTCATCTCATCTCACTTCCTTATTGTTCATTATAAAAAGTTAACTGAATCAAAAAATGCTTTTACTTACCTAGTGGGGGCAGGGCTGGCAGATCCAGATGCGGTTTTTCGTGTAATTGTGCCATTTGTTCGAGAGGTTGTGGGGGTAACGGATAATCTTGATGGACGTGGTGTTGTACCAGTGCCAGATATTGAACTTGTGGCCGAAGGTTTACGTTGTGGAATGCGTGATGGCGTATGTTCATCTATTTATAAATATTAATAATATTAGAAATTATAAAATTTCACTGGAGAACAAAACAAAACGCTTACCTGTACTGTCTAGAGATAATGTAGATCCATGACGTGATGGTGGTTTAGAACCTTGTCTACTAACAGGGCGAGAATTGGGCTTAGAACCAGCTCTGGAGCCACCAGGTGTCAAACCTGTTCTTGTACTGGTATATGTAACTTTTCTAGGGGTATAACGTCCCGAGGCATGACCATGGCTTCCCTCATTATCACTCAATGAATCTGGGGTTGAAGCTGATACTGACGAACGAGTATTTGTTGTCTTTGTCATTGGTATAGATCGAACAGAACGTTCGCGCACCTTTATTATAATTAAAAAAATAAATATTAATGATATATTGTTGCTGAAGACATTAAAAAATTTCATGAAAAATATAATGAATTATTTTGCACCCCATGATGGAAAAATATAAATTAAAAAAAAAGAATACTTTATGTACTTATAACGACGATATTCTCTTATCGTTGCGTTTTATTTTGATATTCTTTTCATGACTCTTGTTCGGTTCTTGCAGACAGTTGGCCATTTTTTAAGTGGTACAATTTTTTGTATATAAAACTTACCCATTGCGTAGTAGGATGGCAATGTATTACATGTGGACTCAATGGTACAGAACGACTACTATTGCAACGTACAAATACGGTGCCACCAGCACCCATATGTATAGGAAAGGCGCATGGTACTTGCTCTTGTGCACGTATACGCTCAAATATTGGCATTAATTCAGCCAAATGTTCATCAGCTACGATAATTTTATAAGAAAAAATTTTGTTTTTAAGAAATTATAAAGAGTGATTGACAAATTTTGCACAAAACCGGTAGAATGATCATTTAAAAAACACATTTAATCAAATAATTTGAAAAAAATCTTAACTGTTTTTTTATTTACGATTTAACAATAATAACTTTTTATTGGTATTTTAATGTTGATCATAATTAAAATCGTGATCTTAAAGAAGTGCCCTATTTGATAAATTAAAAAAGCGTAAATATTCATATATTGATTGCCGCATGAATAGTGCGAAAAATAGCTATACATATCCATGTAATAAAAAAATCATAAAAAATTAAACACATAACATGCTTTACATTAACAAATTGAAACAAAACAAAAATAGTGTGAAAAGCATTATTAAAACTAATTTATTTTGCTTGCAGGTGACATATTTCTTTTCTTTTCCTTTTTGGGATACGGTGACTGGGAACTTACCTTTACAATTACGATTTAATTGTTCTATTCATAACGAACATGTCTATGCTAACTAACGAGCTGATAACTTTTTCTTTGTATATCATTTCCATAAGGGAAATATTTCATCTTGCTTGAGGTACATTATGAATAGAGGAGTAAGTTGTTTATTAAAGAAATATAAATATATTTTTTTGACACACTGAGAAAAAGGTAGCATTCTGTTTGGGGTGGTTATTGATGTTATATGATGATGTTTAAAATGAATGTTTTTTAAGTGTTTAGTCGATGATTTTGATTCGTAACTATTTACCTTAATAATAGGACCTTGAGAGCTCATATAGGGCGGCAAGTTGTTACCATTTGAAGTAGCATTTGGTATTGAACGTCTAGGCGTAAAGGCAGCCATGCTTTGTGATACACCGTCAGCCAATATAAATTGTTCACGCAATTCAATATTAGTACGTCCCTTAGCTGAGCATTTCATTCAATTCAATTCAATCACAATATCAAATAGATATTCGTTTTATCATTTTATATTCATTTGCAATTTCGAGCAGTTCATATCATATAACCCCAAGTTACATAAAAGGGTAGATTACAACATTGATAACAACAACAATAAAATTCATTCAGGATTTTTATGATTCATTGATTGATATGATTTTAAAAGCAACAACAGCATTAAAGCATTGAGTGTAACAACATTTAGCCATACAGATACAGATAGATATTCGATAAGTTCATTTGTTGCATTTAAGATTTATTGAATTCGTTCGTTTGCAAATAAAAATAATATTGCATATTTTCGAACATAAATTTTTATTTGAAGAACATTCAACATTATTTTTTTTTCAATTGCAGTGTTGATACGAGATTTTTTTTGTTTATATTTAAAAAAAGAACACAAAAAGAAGAAAAAAAAAAAAGCCAAAAAATAAATAAATTAAAAACGTTAAAAAATAAATTATACATAAAAACTAATTAAGATTAATAAAGCGTTTATAATGTAAGGTGAGAGTTAAGGCATTGTCAAATACATATAAATTATGTTGAAATAAAATGAAGCAGTTTTATTTTGTTTTTAGCTTAAAATCCAAAATAATCATATTAGACAACGTATTATGTATCCATGTCATTATTTCAGACTGTTCAGGAGTAATATTTGATTCAAGAAATAGGTTTATGTATATGTTGGTTAAATGCTAAGACGATTTGAATATAATTTACGCGACTAGCTCAAAAAATATGTTCATTTTCATCGTATAGAAAATAAGTAGAACGACGATTGTATGTATAAATAATTATGCTACGTTATAGTTTGAATTTAATACCATAAAACCTTTTCGAAATATTACATTTCATTTTAGAATTTTCTTTTAATTTTTTACTATAAAAAAATTACTTTTGCCAATTAACCTTTAAACATTTTTGGATATTTTACTACAAATATGCGGACATGTAAGATTATAAAATATTTGTATGTTGGTATACGAAAATAAACATAAAAAAGAAGCATGCATAAGATGAAACATAAATTATAAAGTAAATTTGATGAAGAAATTTGAGATACAAGAACAAATACATAAAAGCGTTTATTACATAAAACAAAAGATAACAATCTGTATTCCTTGAAGTTTTCTTGAATGTTTAAGTTGCCTTTAAATTTCTAATAGTTATTATTAGTTCTAGCTTGACTAATGAATTATTAAACCCAATAAAAAGTATTTATCCAATAACTGTTAATTTATATTGTTATTGATTTTTAGTATTTTTTGTGTTTATTTTGTTTTGTAAGATCACAATTTTATTATTTTTTTTTATTATTGTCAAAGATGTTTGTTTGTTAAATGACCATTTCCGTTTTGCATTAAATATATAAAAGACTTGTTACACTATTGAACTGTAATATAAATGATATGGTAAATAGATGATGGTGAGATATGGATGTTTCAATGGGTATCAGACTTGCACCCGATTTCAAAGTTCTGTTAATTTAAATTTAAAAAAGTCAACAGCATTTGTTTTATTTTTGTTTATATTTCTATCAGAACTTTGAAACAGGGATCTAATGTAGTAATGGTGATGAAAAAACGTTAATAGAAGACATTAATTTATCCATCTACATTGAGAAATGATTGAAATAATTAATTAAACAATAATATTTACATGGTGAAAAATTGTCCATTTAAAAATTTTCAATTTTACTTTATGTATGTTTCAGTTTATTTTTGATTTAATTAATTATTTCAAGTTTTAATATTAAACACAGATTTCAATTATATTAAAAAATGATTAAGTGTATGTGTCCATATATTAACTACTGCGTATAAAAAATGAATTAAATTGGATTAATGAATGATGTTTTTTGTATAGTTTCTAACTATGAAACCAAATAAATACTAATGATTTCGTAATGTTTCACCACTAAAACAATGATTTCAATATGCAGAAGAAAATATGTTCAACAAAAGCAGCATATAACTTACCGCGACAAGGATCATTCTTTTGGAGGAATTCATCTAGGGCGACCCAGCCGCCACCAACACGCACCATTACAGTACTACGTAAAATACGGACAAGGCGTAATTTTTGTGAATCACCAAACTATAGTATAGCAAATTTAAATATAATGTTAAAGATGAATTCGTATAAAACTAAGGGAATTATGGACTTACCCTATATTTGCCTTCACCGACTTGGAAAACACGGAATTTCTGGCGACAAGTACAAAGCATAACCAAACGTTTGACTTCATCATGAATCTTATCTGAATCGGTTTGAGGTTTGCGTTCCTGCCAGTCGGGTCTGAGAGCAGCAATAAATTCTTGCCAATCAATCAAACCTTCACCATTGCGATCGAACAGATCAGCAACAGCTCCCATTTCCATGCGTGAAGTATCGAATTCTAAAATGAAATTACGAATTTGTAGCATATTTTAAACAAATATTCACACGATTGTGCGTTTGTTGGATTTGAAAGTTTAAAAAACTTACTGGTATTCAAAATGCCATCAATGAATTCGGCTCTTGGAATTAAACCATTGTTGTCCTTATCCATTTTACGGAACAAATCAGTTAAGCGTGATTTCTTGTGATTCATGTATTTCAAGAACTATAAATAAATAATACAGATAGATAGTTAATATTGCTTCAATTAACATTCAAATTTACAATTTTAACTTACTCTCTTTCTCCAGTCATCCCAGCTAAAGTTGCGAACACGTTCCAAATCCTTCAAATACATAAGATGATCATTCAAACGACGTTGACGCTCCCATGATAACATCCAAACATGGCGCCATTTGTCCCACAACAATTTCGCTCTTGGCGAACGGAATTCCAGTTCAGGTCCCACAGAGCTAAGGTAATGAATTTCATACATTAGGTTTAGATATTGTATTTTTAAAATAATGTCCATACATTTAATAACGTATGTGTATTGTATGTATAGAATAATTTTGGCCAAATTTTACAATGCAAAAACATACATTACATAAAAGACAAAACATACAAAAAAAAAATACATATGTAAATACAAGTAGGTACATGTATGTATATTAGAGTGTTCCCTTCTATAAAAGATTGTAAAAAACAGTCAAACAAGGCACATTAATGAGATGAATAAATATTTAGTTCATTCAGTTACTATGATTGATTATGGTCATGAATTTCAATTCATAGTAACTGAAGTTAAAGCTTTTTTATTTATGCAGCACAAAACAACACAAATCATTTGGCTGAAATTTCTAGAGATTTGCAAAAGAAAGCATAGACAAGGGGACACTCTAAATTATGTACATACTTATGTATAAAGGATACGAAAATGATAAAACATTATAAGCGACATGCACTTACCTAGGTGAGAAGCGTGGACCATAATGAGGCAAACGATCTCTATCGGGAGTATCACGACTTGGAGTCATACGACTACTGTATATGTTTAAACAAACGATAGACAGTAGTGTCAGTTAAATGTTGATTGTCGAGCAACAAAATAATGAATGCAGAGAAAATGTTGACAAAACAAAAGCATACAAAACATAGAAGAAAAAACAAATGAAATAAAGTAACAAACAAAACAAACAAAAAAGCGAAAAATACATAAATAAATAAATAAAAAAATTAACATTAAACTAAAGAAAAATTTAGTATGTATTTAAATAAAGCAAGATACACAAAAACAAAAGAATATGGTTTTATTTACTCAATATTTGCGAAATGTTCAAAATGAATTGAATTTCGATTTAATTGAGTGATAACATGCGAAATTGAATTAGTTTCCTTTTTTAAGAGTTTGAAAATTACCTTGATTTGCGGGTATTAAGGCCTTGATCACGAGATCCCTTGAAGCTGTGGAATAAAATAATAAAAACTAATTAATATCTGAATGTAATGCAAATATGTATATGTATGGTGGATTTATTATGAGTTATTGTTTGTCATTTTGCAGCTGGAGAAAGAAAAAAGCATATGAATTAAGCAAATTAATGGGTATTTTTTAATAATGGTTTAATTGGTACTAGTAGACGATTTAGTTTTCTAATGGATTTGTAAATTAAACATTTCAAAATCAGTTATTAGTTTTCTAATGGATTTGTAAATTAAATACTTCAAAATCAGTTATTAGTTTTCTAATGGATTTGTAAATTAAATATTTCAAAATCAGTTATTAGAAAATTATGTTGGTATGTTTGTTTTCAAGTATTTTCTATTTAGGTATATTTGTAATGATTATTCGTTTGCTGGTTAAATTTGTCGATTCGAAAGAGTAATAAAAATGATTCTCGATGTGTTAAGTTGGAATAAAGAAAATTTCGGAATTATACTTCTGTTTTCTTATTTTGTCATTTTCATGCTCATTAATGTTTTGTTTGTGAATGTGGTTTTCTGTTATGAAAATTAATGTATTAATGGTTGGCATTTAATTGAAGTTGTAAAAAACGGGAACAAAAACAAGTTTAATTGAAGAAGCTTTTATGAGTGTGTTTAGTTTGAATTTTAAACAAAAACGAACCTTTGTCGTCTTAAGGTACCATCGGGTGATTGTTCACGAATATCATGACTTGAGCCACGACTGTAGTGAAATGATTATCGAATCAGATTGGGGTGTTTAAAAAAAAATAAATTAAATAAAAAATAAATTAAATAAAAAAATAAAATTAAAAATAAATAAATAAAAAATAAAGAAAGAAAGGAAATAAAAAAATCAAAGCTGTAGGGGAGAAACAAGAGTTTAAATGATTCGATTTAAACTTACGCAGGGGTCTTTCTGGTCATTTTGCGCGCACCAGGTGGTAGTTGTTTAGGTTTGCAGGCACGATCAACTTCAGTTTGACGTCTAGCAGTATTCTCCATAAATTCTTTGTGATCTTCAATAAGCTTCTCAAGTGGTGGAATTTCATCCGGCAATGATTCACGCTCCAAGTCTGAATAAATAACAAAAATTAATATTTTCCATTTAAGATAAAATACCTTTTTCTAGAAAACTTACTAAGCAATGTCGCTTCAAGACCACTTAACCAGGCTAAAAGTTCTTCAATACAGTCATCCAAGTCTTTAAGAGATTGTAAGTGTTGCTCCAATTTAGCTTCACGGTTGATGGCCCACTGTTTGACTTCTTCCCAACGTTCTTCAATAATACTTAACCAATTCTTAATGATTGGTATAGCATCTGGATAGGCCTTGACTATAATTTCTTCAGCAAACTCGAAAGTTTCGACCTTCTGCTTTTCACGGGTGCGTAAATCGGTCATGAAATCCATGTGCATATCCATCATTTCTCGAGAAACCTTTTCATCATCGGGTGCATTCTTGGCATAGCGTAATTTTTGCTCAGCATGATCTAACCAGTCGAAGAGTGCCTGGATACTGCCATTTAACTTCTCAGCATCTTTAAGGGCGTATTGTAAACGCTCGCCGCGTTTAGCTGCAGCACCCTTAACATCGTCCCACATAGATTGCAATTCATCTAATTGGTGGCCAACATCTGGATTATTACCAGAGCGTTCCAAGTCGCGACCAGTCTTGAGTACGCCTTGCATTTGAGCGGCACGCTTCTGCAAGTCTTGTTCGATGTGTTTGTGATGTTCACAGAGTCTTTGTACTGTTTCCAAATCTCCATGGACAGGTCCATCTTCGTTGAGGCGTTGTTTGGCTTTCTTCAACCATTCCAAAAGCTCACCGAGTGCATCGGAGAACTGACCAGATAAAAGAAGAGCCTCTTCTAATTTGCGTTGACGTTCAATGCTCTTTGACAATACGCGGGTCCATTGGTCCTTAAGTTCGCTAAGCATTTTGCCAAGCACTTGTTCGTCGCTCTTTGGAGCGCGTTCCATGAGATTCTTGCCGTTGCGCATTGTGGAGTCATATAAAGATTGTTTACTTGTCAATTGACGATGACTATCCTTGAGCCGAGCAATACATTTCTTAATCTTTTGTGGTTCTTTAGATGAGGTGGCCTCCTCAATGATTTGATCCAGAACATTCTCAGTCTCACGTAAATATTGCATCATGTTGTTCCAGGCATCATTAAATTCCCGAGCCTCTTTGTAGCCATGATCAAGAGCACGCGTACGTTCAGCTGCCTTGCTAACAATACGCTCCCAACGATGTTGAACCGATACAAGAAGATTCTTAATCAGAATAACATCTTGCTTTTGGCTGAAGTACTTCAGGTGGGTTCCCTTCTTGTCCAGCAATAGCATTGCTTCGCGGTGAGTACTGACATCCTTTTGTAAAATTTTGTGTTCTTCCATTTGTGCTTGGATTGTTTCCAAAACCCTTGATACAGGTTGAGCATTAGCCAATTGTTTTTCCGCTTGATTCAACCATTCAACAAATGCTTGCAATGTATCGTGGAATTCAGTAGCTTCCTTAAGAGCAATTTCAAGTTTAATCTTTTTGTCCGAAGCTCTTGACACAACGGCGTCCCATCGTTGTTTGAGTGTGCGTAATGTGTGCTGGAGATTACTGGAGGATACCTTCATTTGATTCTGACGTTTAATATATTCTTGACCTTGAGCTTGAATTGTTTCAACTTTGGGGCGATTTTCTTCGAGTTCATTGTACACCTCCATGAAACGTTCAAGTTGTTCGGTGGCAGTTTCTGGCAAACCTCCAACTGGTTTACTTGCTCCGATAACAGCATCAACATCACCTAACCAACCTAGAATGTCTTGCACCTCAGCAATGTAACCATGGGCCTCTCGCAAAGCCTCTTCTAACTCATGCTGACGGTCCGAGGCCTTTTGTAAAAGCATCTTCCATTCCTGGTTCAATTTACGAAGTTTTTCCTGAGTAGTGGAAGCCTCAATTGAACCCTTTTCGGATTCAATCAATTGACGTCCTGCATCATTAAGTGTATCAACTGAATTTTGATGGGCTTGAATATCATTAGCCAACACCTTTAATTTTGCTAATTCCACTTCGAGTAATTGTGGATCGCCCGGTATCTACAACAAATATATAAATTCAATTTCGGAATAAAGAAATATGTAACTGCATACACATCCATATGTATGTACATACATATAAGAAGAACATAAGTTTGTATTTACTTACCGGTTTTAATTGATCTAAAGTACCATCTGTTTTGTTAATCCAAACTAAAAGTTCATTAAGTGCATGTTGGAATTGTCCTAGATGCAACAGAGCATGTTCAAGTTGTTTTTGACGTTCAACCATTCCACGCAATAATGTCTCCCAACGGCGATTTACCACTGTCAATGGTTCACGAATTGAAGCAGCTTGTTCAGGAGAAGTTCGTTCCGTTAATTCAACAGCTTGTCTGTAAATTTATTAACATACGAATTCATTAGAATAAATATATACAGTGATATTGTTTCCGAACATCACATGCATTAATAATTGCATCTAAATAATAAATTATAAAAAAATATTCTTATATTAAGCGATATCAAAGTAACAAGAAAAGCTTTCAGGATATATATACATATTTACATACATATGTATGTATGTAGGTATGTATAATTTTTAGGTTAACATATACAAGACTCATGTACATAACCATACATGGCTGCTCAAAATTTTTAACATGCATTTCGGTTTAACGGATAATGGTAGATATACATTTCATAACAAGTAACAAATGAACACAACAAATTTTGTTTTTAACTTATTTCTTGCCTTTCTAAACCTCTGCCAATTTGGAATTTACACGATAATCAAAATATACCGTTTCGATTAACATCATAAGTAGTAGAAATAGTATAAAGTAGATGGGATCAATTTAAAAATAGTGATTAATATAATACTCTAGTGATATAGTTTATTTAATAAAAAATATATATAATTAAGAAAACTTACCTATTTAATGCCTCTACCTCAACCATGTGTGGGTCAACTTCATCCTTGAACGACTTCAATTGCTCGATTTGTTTTTTAACAGCGTCAATATCTGAACCGACTGGTCCTAAATGTGCGAACTTATCTTCAGCCTTTGCTAAGAATTTCAGAAGATTTTGTAGAGTTTCATGGAATTCCATAGCTTTTTCCATGGCATCAATGAGATTCTCTTCACGTTTGGCATACAGGGCGGTAATGTTATCCCAGGCATTATCCAAATCCTCAATATGTTTCTTAACTTCTGGTTTATCAGGTTCGCCGCACAAATTCATTAGATTGCTGCCATGGCGGCGCACTTGTTCAACTTCCGGTTTGGTTTGGTCGATTTCATGGCGAATTTCTTGCAATGCTACTTGTTGTTTTTGAATTTCTTGAGGTTGGGCTGCAGGTGGTTCTTGGGATGAGAGGGTTTCTTCGAGATCCTTCAATGTTTTCATTACACTTTGCAGTTGATTCCAGAAAGGTTCAGCAACATTAAGGATGTCGTCGAGAGAACTACCTCGTTTTTTGGTGGCCTTTTGAACATCATTCCATAAGTTGTTGAGTTTCTCCAATTTACTCTTTATATCTCGGACAGCAGGATCTGACTTATTGCCAGCCTTAGCGATAACATCACTAGCTGCGCGTTGAACCGCACTAAAGGCGTCCGTTCGTTTATCCAAGTCATCTTTAATAGCGGCATTATCCTCAATTTGTTCACGAATCTTTTGAGGTAGAGCTGATAGTGGGTCAAGTTGGTTGACTTGGTCTACAGTATTGGCCAGAGCACGCAACATTCCCTCGAGTTTGTCGGAGAATTGACTGGACTCTTGTAAAGCGTTGTCAAGTGCTTGTTGGCGTTCGCGTAATTCTAGACGTAGAGCAGCATAACGAGCATTATCCGAATCCAAAATTTCATTAATTTTAGCACTATCGTCATCGGCGACAAGGGCGCCTAAAGCTTCACCAGTTTTGTTTAATTTATCCAATAACGGTTTGTGTTCTGCAATAGATTGGAGAAGCCTTTCGTTCTTGTCCTGTTGCTGGGTTATTTGATCGGGTCGCAATGCTGGCATACTAAGACGTGATATTTGTTGTTCCATATCATCTAACCAGGTAGTTAGGCCAGCATGAGAATCAGCAAAATGTTCTGAAAGAGGCAAAGCTTGTTCTAGTACGCCTAACCTTTCACTGCATAGCTGAACAACTGTATCGACAATCTCTTTAAGATCATCAAGTTTTTCACGCAATGTGGCAGTGTTTTCGCTTTGAGGAGATTCACGTAAAACTTTCTTAGATGCGGCAGTAACATCACGCACACGTCCCTTTTGACTGGAAATGTCATCATTGACAGAACGATGTTCTTGTAACTGGGCACGAACCAATTTAGGTTCAATTGCTGGTAAATCAGCTTCACGTAAGTTTGCATCCATTTCACGGAACCATTCTAACAATTCGTCAATATCATTGGTGACCTCTTTAGCTCGTTGGTTACTGAGATGTAAACGTTCAGCTTTGCGTTGAATTTGTTCTACAATTGCGTCAAATCTACGGTTATCACGAGTAACAATGTTTTCAATAGTAGATGCTCCTTCGCCGGGAGATAGTTGACATAGTTTAGGCCCAACTAAGTTGACCGCGTCTAAAGTTGGTCGCATTTCAGCTAATTCAGCTTCTAAACGAAGAACGTCAGACTGGCGTGGTTCACTAGTAGCGAGAGCACTTTCTGCCGATTGCATCCATTCAACCAAACGATTGTGAGCTTCATGGAATTGTTGAACCAATGGCAGTGCATTTTGTGCACTCTTTAACAAATCTCCACCACGGTTTGTAAGTTCTCCATAACGACGTTGCAATGAATCCAATTTATCTTTGAGTTGTATGGCTTCATCATTGGAAATATGTTTCATGAGTTCCGCGCCGGATTCAACAGTTGACTCAACATTTGGTGCGTTATTTGCAATATTTTCGTTCAGTTCTAACAAAAGTTCCATTTGTTCCATTAATTTTTCAGCATAGACTGGTACAGAACGGAAGCGTTTTAATTCGTTTTCCATTCGTTCCATCCATGCAACTAAATCTTGATAGGTTAACACTAAATGCCTTAGACCCTTGCAAGATTCTGCCAATAAAGCACCGATATTGTCACTAGAATCTACCAATCCAGTGTAGCGATCTGTTATGGTTCGTACTTTCTCACCCAAATTGACAGCTTCATCATCGCTCACTAAATGCATCAACTGACCTGCCACATCAGCTAAATCAGTAAAGTCAGGTTTCTTGCTAAGAATTTCATCATGAAGACGGCCATGTTCGCGAATGCGTTGTTGAATCTTTTCTTCGTCAGTTGGTATTAGCTCCATTCCTTTAACGGCTCTTTCTGTGTTGTCTAACCATAATTCTAATGGACTAATCTTATCATGGAAACGTTTGGCAACTTCCATTGCTTCTTCCAGGTCTTGTTCCCGTTGTTCTGCACCATCGGTCAATGCATCGAAACGTTTCATGAGATCATGAAGTTGTTTCTCAATAGCTGCACGTTCAGATGGTTCACAGTGATTGGCTACTTCTTTACCCAACGAAGATAAAGATGACATAGAATGTTGACGATCTAAAAGCATTTTCTTAAGGAATTTTTGTTCTTGTAACTGTGCTTTGACGACCTTATAATCCGAACTTGGTGGTTTTTGGTTAGCTACCATTTCTTCGGTATCTGATAGCCATTTAGACAGACCAGCTAAAGCTTCTTTAAATTTGCCAGATTGTAGGAGGGCAACATCCAGACGTCTATCGCGTTCATTCATACGTTCTTTAAGATCGTTCCAGCGATCGTTCAACTTCTCTAAGTCCTTCTCAATTTGAGCAGTTGAGACACCACTTGCGGCAGATCGTACCAGGTCACGTCCGTTTACATTAACCTTATCAACATTTTGTGCCAAAGGTTCAAATTTGTTTTCACGGAAATTGCGGAAATCTTCCTGTTGACGACGAATTTGCTCCAGTTCGGAACCAACAGGTTTCATGCGACTGAATTCATCACTTAAATCTTTAATATCGTCCATAGTTTGAGATTCCATATCGTAAAACTCATGCAAAGAACGCAATGTGTCGTCTAAGTTTTGTGCATGATCACGAACACGATTATCCAGACGAGCAAGTGTTTTACGAAGAGTGGAAATTTGTTCGCGGGTTTGGGCAGTATCTGGTGAAAAGCCAGCATCTACTAAAGCATCAGCAGCACGCTCGCCATCTTCAATACGATCTACAATACGTTCGAGCTTATTTTGCAATTTGGAGGTGTCGTCGATTTGACCTTGCACTCGTTTAATTTCGCGTGCAGGTGGTGATAGTTTCTCAACTTCATTTTCAATTTCATTCAAATCGAGTCCTAATGTTTTTATTTGTTCATTGAATTGAGAAACTGCAGTTGCTGCAGATTGAAGTTCGCCTAAACGATCATCTAAACGACCTTGTAGTTCTGCAATGCGATCCGAAATACCATCCACATCATCAGTGAGATGTTCAGCATCTCCACCAGCAGCACGTGCTTCGGCACAGATATCTTTAGCCATGCCCTTAAGAGTTTGTAATGGTTTCTGAAGATTTGTGAGTTCTTCACGTATAGCCTTTACACGTTCCAACAGTTTAGGGTCTTTAGCTGCGCCACCCAAGGCATCATGAGCTGCAAGACGATCCTCGCATCTTCCTACTGCATGATCTAAATTGCGAAGTTCATCATTGAAGTCGCCTAAACGGCGTGAGCAGTTTTCTATTTCATGAGCTCTGGCAATAAGATCATTATTAAGACGTTCCCATCTTTCACGAATATCTTGTAGTTCGGCCTTTATTGGGTCTTTATCTACGTCACAGCTAGCCAAGAATGTTTCGCCCAAACCCTTCGTGTTCTCAAATTCTCCCGAATGTTTCCAGACTTCGCTGCGGAAAGTTTGTAGATCACGGAGACGTGTATCAAGTTTAGATTTAGAAAGAACTCCTGGATTCAGTTCGACAAGTTTGTCTTCAGCAGTACGCAACCAAGCTAAAAATACCTCGGATGTTGTTTCATATTTCTTACAATGTTCCATACAAGTTTGCAATCGAGTATGGCGTTCGACAGCTTCACGACGAAGTTTTTCCCATTGTTGTTGAATGCGTTCTAAGTCACGTTTAACAGTTCTATCTTGTTGGCGATCTGTCAGGTCTTTGCCTTTGTTAATGAGCATTATAATTTCATGTTCACGTGCCATTACTTCACGATATATCGGCTCATGAGTATCAATTTGATGTTGCAATGTAGGCTTATGAGCTGATACCAAAAGACGTTCTGCCAAATTGGAAAGTTCAGCAGAAAGCCAACCAAGAGTTTTAGAACAGTTTTCAGCAAAGTGGCGACCATCTCTAAGGGTTGCTTCAGTTTCAGCTTTCTTTGTATCAAGTTTCTTTTGTAGGGCTTGATATTGTTTCTCAAGGGCAGCAACTCGGGAGTTAACGTCAGCTCTCGATGCTGGATCACCTAGTATATTGCAAAGAGCAGCTGCTGATTGTTCTGCATCGGCGAGCAATGGTCGTTGACCTTCTAATTGGCGTTCCAAATTTTCTATTTTCCTTAAATTCTCTTGATGATCACCATCAGTTGGTAAGCCGTCTAAATTATCACTAATTTGTTGTAATGCCTCTCGAAGCCTATTAACTGCAGCATCAAATTCTTTACTACTGTCAGCAGCACCTCCCAAACTGTTTGCACGTTCATCCAAGCGTCCGACCAGATCTTCCCATTTATAATTTACATCTTTCAGTTTTTTATCAACAGCGGCAGCATCTGGTGAATCACTTTCCAAATGATCAAGGACATCGTGACCAATTTCTTGGAAGTGCTTCAATTGTGGTTGTTGAGTACGGAATTCTTCTCGCAAAACTTGAACTTGTTGAACTTGACTTTGAACCATGCGGGGGTCGGACGAAATGGGACCAAGAACCGTTAGCATACGTTCCTTGCTGTCTAACCAGTTCTTTAAATTATTGTGTGTGTCTAAGAAATCACGCAATTTTTCTGAAAAGTTGATACGATTTTTGCAAATGTCACTCAATTGCTTCCACTTCTCTACAATGCTATCGTTTTCAATGCGTAACTGATCAGCACCAGGAACCTCTGATTTGCGGCGTAGAATGTCTTTAATTTGAGTTTTTGTTGTGTCCAAAAGACTTTGCTTCTCGTACATATCTTCAAGAATTTTACGAGCTTGTTTAATGCAACGATCGGCTTCGTCCTTATTCGAAACAGATTCTTTTGGCAACTGGCGTTGAATACGATCCAAGAAGCTAGCAAGATTTTTAAGATTATCATATTGTTTTCTTACTTCTTCGCTCATGTTGTCTAATTCGTTTTGACGATCATTTATACGCACTCCTATTAGACCGTAACGGTTATTAATTTCGCTCAATTGTTGTTGTACCGGAGAAAGTTCGGAGAGTTGGAAGCCATCTTGAGAGGATCTGCGGCTACCAAATCCACTGGAACCAGTTGATAGTGGCGACAGAATACCTCCCTTTGTGGGGCTAGGGCTACGAGCATCTCCGGACATGCGACGCAAGGGACTCACTCGTTTTATAGGACTAAATGTTGACCGTTTGCGACCTGGACTTTCAGGACGAATTAGAGCATCGTATTGCGCACCAATATCATTAATTTTGTCAATTGTAGAGGCGTACTCGCGGTAATCCTTGTTGATCGGTTTTAACTCCTCATGCTGTTGACGAATTTTATCCAAATCCACAGCTACAGGGCTCAGACCGCTAATACGAGTTTCCATACTCGCCAACCATGAAAGTACTTGATCCTTAAGACCCTCATATGCTACTTGGTGTTCAGCTTTTTGTTTTGACAATTTTGCCTTCTCTTCGATAGTAATGTTAATGTTACGCCATTGAGATTCAAGCGCCTTAATTCTATCGCGTAAAGTGCTGGTGTCTGTTACATCTCGAATGCTAATTAGATCTTTTCCGTTACGCACACAATCCTCATAAGAGGGTGTAAGATCTTCTTTACGATGCAAGAGTTCCTGCATACGACGAGCAGATTCTTCGGCAGAAATTAAACTGGTGTCACGACCATCAAGTGCATCTTGTAAAGTACCAATTTCTTGTTCCATGCTAGTAATTTCGTCCAAATATTGGCACAAACGATTATAGACATCATCGAGGAAGTCGCCACGTTTAACAACCTTATCGTACAGCTTTTCAAATTTAGAAGTGACATCATTGAGATTTGTCTCCACTTTTTTAGCAATGCGAGCATTAGATGCCGTATTCATCAAATGTTTAGCGGATGATTGAACGCTGTCTATACTGACTTGATGTGACTGCATATCAGCAAGAAGAGCCTTGTGCTCACGAATTTGTTCCTGTAGACGTTCTTTGATAAGCGAGGCAGGTCTCAACTGAAGTTTGTATTTATCCTCTGCTTGGTTAACCCAGCCTCCCAAATTATCAAGAGCTTCTTGGACGCCTTGAGATTGTACCAAGGTTTTATCTAACATCTTGCAGTGTTCGCCCAAAGTATCAAGAAGACTCTGATACTTGTCTTTGAGTTCAGCGATCGGAATTTCCAGCTGGTTGATTTCCATTGGGCTTAGTTGGCCTCCTAAGGTGTGTAATAAGCTATCCAATGCTTGTTGAGCATTGTCGACAAGGCGGCCATTCGACAAGAGTTCGTTGTGCAAGCCCTTGGCTTCATTCATTTGTTCTTGCACAGATTTTGGATCTCCAGCTATGGGCTCTGCAATTAAGCGAGATACGCGTGGCTGTGTGCTTCTTAACCATTCACTTGCTTTGTCTAAAGCATCTTGATATTCACGTTGTCGTCCACCAAGACCGGAAATACGATCCTGAAGTGCATTGACACGATTCATTAGATCTTTATATTGAGCAGAAACTAATGATACTTCTTGACGTATCGGGCTTTCGGCACTCGATAACGGCTCCACATGGGGCAAACGTTCGGGCAGAGATGTTCTAAAATCATTTAGAATTGCTAAGAATTCCTTGCTTTCATCGACAAACTTCTGAGCAGCCATTGTAATAAAACGTAAATCAGCTTGATGACCTATCACATCACTTACGAACTCTCGCACTGTTTCTGCTTGAGATGAAAGACGGGTAAGATCAGACAAGGCGCGTTCTTTATCCTCTAATGTGCGACGAGCTGACTGTAGCCAGTCAGAGAATATGTCTAATTCACTTCGTAACTTATTAAGTTCATCACGTCCAGCTTCCAATCGACGTAACAAGCGAACTGTGCGATCATTAACACGGTCAACGCGTGAACGTAATTCACGACCTGCATTTTCTAAAGTTGTTACTTCGGGTGCAGATAGGACATCACCGCCAGTCAATACAATTTGACGAATTTGCTCTAAGCATGTTGCCACTGGTCGTTGTTGTGTTTCGATCTCATCCTTGATTTGCTAAATAAGGAAAAATACATTATTAATATTATGAAAAATAATTCTAACTGATCTTTTACCTTAAGAGCATTAATTTGGTTGCGAAGTTCATCAATATTTTCTCGAGGTCCTCCCACAGTTGCAATTTTATGCTCGACACTATTGACCCACTTGAGTAATTCATTAACATTTTCTTCGCACATGTTGAATTTCTCAAATACTGCTTGCTATGGAATTAACATTGATAAAAAGAGAGAAAACAAACGAATATTAGCACGTTTCTTATTATTATTTTAGGAATGTTTTCATAAAATGTTATATATTTAAATTGTGTTGGGAGGATATGGTTGAAAGAATCTTTATCCCCCAAAATAGCCTAGAAATACAAACTGATTTTAAATTTCAGAGTATGTATATAATAAACACAAAATATATATTTAAAAATTCAATAACCAAAGCAAAGCTTAGCTTAACAGTTTTGCCCAAAACTATAACTTAATTTAAAGCTTAGCAGAGAATATTCATATAACAGCAATATTTTGCACTCTGTCTTAAGAAGAAAATTAAACCATACACATACATAGAACATATATAAAAGCATTAGATCAAACTACTAACAATTAATTAGCGTTATTCTATTTTTACTACCATAAGGCAATTACTACGAGTAAACTACTATGGTTAAAACACCAATCTACCAAATATAACAAAATAAGTATGTAGTTAAACAAAATTAGAATTTTATGTATAAGTTAGAAAAGCTTAGTTAAATTTGTTAGAAATTAATAGATGTATATATATATTTTTTTTTGGTTTTGTATGGAAATACATAAATATTGAAACTGGAATAAAACCTGAAAAGGTAGAAAATTGAGATGAATGAAATTAAAAAAGAAAGATATAAAATAAAAAAAAAAACTTAAAAATAGTTTACCTTTTCCAACCAATTATAAACTCAAAGTAATACCTACATACAATAAATTAACGGTATTTATTTAAAGAATAAAGTTACTAGTCGGAATGGGATATAATCACTCTAAACCCGATATACATATGAAAGTAGAGTATATATTATAATGATAGAAACGAGCTCAATTTCACCAATTTCGAATTCGAAGTATTGGACAATTTTGAATTTTTTTTCTTAGTTTTGAAAATAATGTTCGTTTCTATCATAAGTTGGAACAATCTTTTTCCTCGGCTTATATATAGTAAAGTACATAGTATGTAAACAATACAGGACATTTGAATGTGATAAATAAGAATTTATGTTTCTTACGACAAGCATAAATAGTACAACAATATACAATGTAAGCATGGATAATAAAAGAATTAATAAAAATCTGTTCGGATGTGTTTGTATTTTTTCTATTGGTTTTGCCGACGACACTTATGTTGGAAAATGTATGATACGCGCAGCATCCAAGGCACATGAAATTTGAATTGTGATCGTATAATGTAGAATGTAATTATGTGAAGAATTGATTCTGATGTTTGTGGTTTTGATTTGTATGTACGCACGATGATGAATTTGTGATATTTAGATTTGTGTGATTTGATAACATCTTGTTTGAAAAAGAGAAATGATATTTTCGCTGAGTTTGTCGCAAAACACCATGCTCTGTAATTGTAGAATATAAAGAATACACCCAGAAGAGTACTTTTCAACATTCAGATACAATATGAAGACAACAAAAATAGCAAAACAAGATGTGTTTAATCCACTGTCATAAACGACGATGGACCTTCATACTATACTTAATTTTGAATTGATGTTGTAACTACTCCATAAAAATATGCACTTGAAGAAAATAAAAACTTGAATTTCTGAATGTATTCTTTAATGTCAGAGGGAAGAAATAAAGGAGGGTAGAAATAATTTGGTTGAAAGTTGAAAAGAAATGTCGACAAAATTTGGAAAAATGTTGAGATTTTTTAAAATGCCAATCAAATAAGGTTTATAATCAAACATATAATATTTTTCTAATCATGCCAAATATTTATAAAAAATCATATCATATGCAAGCAAATTTAAGGAGAAAGAAAATTCATTTATAGTATATTATAATAGAGTATACATAAGACTTGAAAACATAGCAAAACAGAAGATACGTAAAAGTAAATAAAAAAGAAGCCTTTTTTTGGAGCATGGTGAGCTTATGTTGCAGCTGAGGCAATAAGTATATGCACTTTTAGACATGTGGTAAACAAAATGCTCAGCATTAGACTTACCCTTTGTTCTGCTGGCAATAAAAGACCTTTCTCGGCGGCCTTAACAAGATCCATATTGTTTTTACTGTCTGATGGGTCGTTAATGCGTCCTTCTGTGGGGTCTATTAAACCGGATTGTATGGCTGTAGTGAGCGGTATGATTTCGCCTGTTGTTGGATTTCTAACCACTGTTGAGGAGGGATCAATCAAACCACTCGTTATTGTTTCGGCGAGTGAGAACTTTTTACGTTTTATAATATCGGGATTCATTTGGAAGGGATCGACAAAGCAGCCATTGGTAGGATTGTAAAGGTTAAAGGAAATAGCTTCGAGTAGACCAAAGGAACGTTTAGGCGTAACAATCAAACCGTTATCATAAGCCTCACTTAGTGAACACAATTTTGACGTTTTTGTATTCAAAACATTCGCCTTGTTGGCATCTATTAATCCTTTGCGGAAAGCTTCTGGTAAACGTACTAACTTTGACTTCGCCAAGTCCTTTATAAGGGCAGAGTCTGGATCTATAATGCCCATCGTGGTGGCATCTTTCAGGGAATACATTTTCAGTTCTGTTTCTCCTAATTCGCCACTATGGTCAGTTTCATGAACAATTTGTTGCTGAAGTTCTTGATCTGGATATTTCAGCATGCCTGTTTGTAGATCCAAGATTTTGCTTTCGGCAGCATAATCGAACGTTATGGGTTCTCTTACGTATACAATTAAGTTTTGATCAAACGCGAAATATAGTGCTTTCGGATCAACTAAAGTTCGCTTGCTCAAATCGAGAGTATTGTTTTGCATTGCAACTTCAAATGGCAAAAATTTAAACGTTTCGAAATCGCGAACCAAAGCGGTTTTTGGGTCAATTATATTATACTTTATAGCTTCTTCTAAAGACATTTCTCGAGGCTTACTGACGACAACGCTAACTGGTGTCTGACTTAAGAGTTCGACACTTTCTTGCCGTTTTACTACTTCTGTGCGTTCTGTTAAAGGTTTTGAAATAGTAACCAAAATTCCACGTGATAAAGCAATGTCGTAATTATAAGCAGATTTTGATTTAGGGTCGAATACGCGTCCCTTAGCTACATCAACATCGCCGTTTTCAATGGCCTCATTGAGTGGCAGTTCTTTACCTGTTACATGATTCTTAAAAACAGTAGTAGCAGGGTCTATAAAACCATTTTGAATGGCTTCTGCTAAATCACAAAAATCACCCGTAGTGGGATCACAGAACTTTCCAGTTTCTGGCCTAAATAATTGCATACGCATTACGAGTTCTAAGCATAAAAGCCTTCGGTTCGAGACTATCAAGCCTCTTGATCGTGCCTCCTGAAGATCTATTTGTTCGGAATCTCCTAAATTGTAACATCCATTAGTGTCATCTATTATTTTGTCTTTAAGGGCTTGAGCTAATCTAACATACTTTCCGGTTTTATTATTCTTCACTAAGCTAGACGACAGACTAACGACGTCTTCAACACAAGCCTCGTTCAAATTAAGTTTTCTTCCTGTAACTGGGTGGATTATTTTACGTGTTGTCCTGTCATAGAATCCCATTGCCAGCAGTTCGTATAAGCCAAAACTGGCATTTTCTATATCTACGATAAGACCTAAACTTAAAGCTTCGTTCAATGACACAAATGTGTTGCTACCGGGTTCCCGGAAGACCCCTTCCCTTCTATTTATAATACCCATTCGACAAGTTTCTGTTAAATTGTACATTTGTTCTTGTAATTCGTCAAAGTAGCAAGGCAACTGAGGATTTATAACAAAGCTACGTATGCTCTCGAGTAAAGTTATTTTGCGTCCACTCTTGGGATCGGTAAGTTTTCCAGTTTTTTCATCAAAGAGACCTTGGTGCAAGGCTCTCTGTAAGCTTAAGGGAGCTTGTGTGTCAATAAGAATACCAACGTCAAAAGCATGTTTAATGGTAATCTTTTGGTTGTTGTAAACCAATTTAGCATTATTGCCGTCGATAACACCGGATTCAGTGGCATGAGCCAAGTTAAGTTGTTTGTATAAACCGGTGTTAAAGTCACGTATCTGAACACTGTCGCCATCGAGGAGATTGGAATCTACAGCCTCGGCAAAGGAAAGTTTCAATCCCGTTTTTGGGTCCATAAAACTACCGTCGACTTCATCGTAAACGTTTTTGATGACCGCCTCGATTAGACGCAAAGGTTTCTTTGCTTCGAGAAGCACACCTCTATCGAAAGCTTCTTTAAAGTCGATGGGCTTGTCCTCGTTGTCTTTAACAGTGCCGCGTTGACTGTCAACAATGCCAACCTGAGCAGCTTTTTCAAATGGCAATACTTCGCCCGCTACATTCACAATGGTCGAATCTGGATCCAATATTCCTCTACGAATAGCACGTTCAGTTGAGAGTTTTTCACGTGTAATAGTGTTACTGAATTCTCCAGTTTTAGGATCATATAGGCCACGGTACACAGCATCTGGTAAACTTCGTTTGCGTTTTGGAGGAATTAGAATACGATTTTCAAGAGCTTCATTTAATGACAATTTTGTTCCGGCAAAAGGATTAATAACGAATCCACCTACAGGATCAATATACCCCTTGGAAATTGCTTCCGTAAGCGAAATAATCGATTCAGTTTTTGGATCTAAAAGAACCAATTCGTCAGCGTTAATTAGTTTAAGAGAAATTGCAGATTTAAGATCTACTCTCTTATCGTCAATATTGAACTTGGACGTATCGGGATCGTAAAGTCCCCTTAAAAGGCAATCGACCAATGATAGTGGTTTCTTCGTGCTTATCAAATATCCCTTGACAAAAGCTTCGTCTAATTTGATGTTAGGACTGCTTAAGCAACCTCTTACTGTGTCTAGTAGACCTTCTTTAGCTGCTTGTTTTCCGGGAACAATTATATTCTTTTCATCGTCTTTAACTAAACAAGAATCTAATTCTACGAAGCCGTGTTCAATTGCTTGTTGAAGTAGAATTTCTTCTCCAGTAGAAGGATTTAAAATTTTGCCTGATTTCGGCGAATAATATTCTCTTTGTAGCACTTCAGGTAAACTCCATTTAATACTATCTGTTTTAACTAATTTCTTTTCGACACCAACATCGAATGGTACCAATGTGTTCGTTTTAGTATCCTTTATTTTACCTGTTTCGGCCACTACTAACTCGTCTTCAATAGCACAATCTAGTTTGATTTCTTTTTGGGAAATTGTATCGACAATAAGAGATATTTTTGGGTCGACAAGACCTATTTCTATGGACTTTTGCACATCCACTTGAACATCGGACTCCGAGTCATATAGTTTACCAGTTTCGGGGTCGTAAAGACCTTTACGGACAGCTGCCTCCAGGGAAATGGGTTTTCGTGCTCCAGGCACCAAAAAGCCCAATTTAAATGCGTCTTCCATTGGAATTTCTTTAAGTGTCTGAATATCAATAACAGTACCGGCCTGCATATCCACAACTCCCAACTCAATTGCCATACGCAGTGGAATTACTTCACCGCTTACTGGATCTCGTACCGATATGGACTGGATATCAAGTAATCCATTGTTGATAGCATCAACAATCGAACAAACTCGACCATTGTCCAATATTACTTTTCCAGTTGCAGGATCGATTACATTTTCAATAGCTGCAGGTTTTTCCTTTTCCGGGTTGGCACGGATGATCCAATTGCGGGCTACACATTCAAAGAACGGAATCTTCTTGCCGGTTTTTGGATCGACCATATGACCGGTATGTCTATCAAGTAAAGGTCGTTCTAGAGCATCAGTCAAAGTTTCATAGTTGCCTGTACTAAAGTTTTTAACAAGTATTGTTTCTGGATTAAATACATTCATTTCGAAAACTAACGTATGGAAAGATACCTTCATGCCTGTCGATGGGTCAATGAAGTATTGATTCTCTGGGTCATAAACATTCAATTCACTTAAATGTTCGGGACTTAGTTCATCGTCTATGTCTACTAGATAAGTTAAAGATTGCAAAACTACTAATTTATCATCTAAAATCTGGACTTCATCTAATGGACTAAGCTGTTCATCCTTTAATAACTCACTAACACTCTGATCTTGTTTTTGACCATCAACTACAACCTTACATTCATCGGGCGATATTAGATTTTGAGAAATTGCATCGCCTAAAGCTAATGTTTGAGGAGGTATGGCAGTTCTCAATGGAACGTTTTCTTGTATGACATCAGTTGATTCTGGTTCTGTAACTGAAGATTTATTTGGCTCGTTAATAGTTGAGGATGTGGTAGAGATGGTTGTTGTTGGTTTTGAGATAGGTTCTGATGGTTTATCGTCTTTTTTCAGAGCATCAACAATTGCTTTTCCCGCTAATACAGGTGCACCAACGATCGCCAAAGCACTAAGTTTGGCAGCATCTTTAACATTTTGCAACATATTACTACCATGTTTTGGATCATCTTTTTCACCTTGTATAAAATCTACTATATCTTGATGCTTTGGTTCTTTAATCGTTGCTTCAGGTTTAACTTCCCCTACAATTTCGGCAGCTGGGGTAATTGATGATTTTCTTCTTTGTGCTGGTATTGGTTTCTCAGATGAAGTTGTGTCTTTGTTAACAGTTGTAATATCAGATGATTCTGTCAAAGGTTCTTTATTTTTATCGTTCTGATCTGTAGTTCCAGGTTGCGAAGACATTGTAGATAATAAAGAATTATAGTTATTTATTGTTTTCAATTTATCTGTTTCATTGTCTAGATTTTCTTTAATAGTATCAACTTGTTCCATATTCTGATCTAATTCTGATTTTTCCATTATTTGCGGTTCAACAATTTCCTGCTGCGGTACATTTTTCGTTTCTTTGGCATCTGTTATTTTGTCAGCTTGTTCATCTATGAAAGCAGCAGGTTTAGAATCGGATTGATTTGTTTCCAATATTTCAACCCTAACCTCGTTATTAAATGGTGCCAATGGTGCGTCATATGGTTTATTCGTGGTAGTCATTTCATGTTTAATGAAATCTGTCACAACACTTTGTTTCTCATGTAAAGTATCTTCAATATTAATTTGAGATTGATCAATAGTTGTTTTTGGTATTTCCGTGTCTTCTTTAGCATTTTTCTTACCTTCTTGTTTATTTAAAATGGGTTCTGTAACAGTTTCTGATGTTGATTCTACTTCAGGAAGTTTAGAAATTTCGCCTGTGTCTTTATTTGGATCGTTTACAAATTCTGCTGTTATTTTATTTTGAATATTTTCTTGGATGCTTTCTGGTTTTAATTCACCTTTAGTTTGTTTTTCAACACTTTCATTATTGAACGATTCTGGGACACTTTCCGAAGTTATTTTCGCTGTAGTTTGATTTAGAATACTTTCTTCAATGACTGATTCTTTAATTGTCTCGGAAATGTTTTGTATTTGAGGTTGTTGAGAAATTTCTTTATCTTTTTCGGAAGAAAGCTTCTCTTTAGTATGTGTTTGAACACTTCCGTCTTCACTTGCCTTTGGCACTTTTTCAACTTCCTTTTGTGCTTGTTCAACGACTGGGACGTTACCCGATTCCGATTTAATTTCATCCTCGATCTGTTTTTTAATATTTAAGTCTGAAACTGGTACTTGATATAATTCCGATGATCTATCATTTTCAGTTTCCTTTTGTTCTGATTCGTGTTCCTCACGTACTTCTGGTTCATAAAGTTTTGTGTCTTTATATTCCTTTTCTTCAGTGGTTATCGTAACTGGTGTGCTTGTTTTTGCAGGACTATCTATCAAATTTTGGGCATCCGTTTGTTTCTCATCGGATACATATGGTGTTACTGGAGCATTCTTTAAATCGAATACTTCGGTTATTTCATTTATTGGATCAGTATTTTTAACAGAAGTTTCCGTAGTTATAACCACAGAGGAAATTTCTCTTTGTGGTATGCTGTCAGTGAAGATATTTGGTTGTTGTGGTACTTGCTGTTGTCCATTTTTCTCTTGATTTATGAAGTTGGCGGTTGTACTATTAATGAAATTTTCTGTATCTTTAATAAGGTTTTCCACCAAATCAACGTTTTGGGGTTCGGTAGATTCTTGAACAGTTTTTGAAATTTCATCTATTCTACCTGTAAAACTATTTTCTGATTGTGTTGTGATTGTTGTAATAGTAGAAGTAGTTGTTTTGCTTGATGTTAATATTGGTTGAGATTGATTACTTGTTGGCAATATAGACTCTGCAACTGGAGACTTTGTGTCGTCTTTTGGAAGTGTTGCTTTTGAAGGAGAAACTTCTGTAGTGGCTAATAAAGGAACTTCTTTTTGTGTTTCTTCTGAGATTTTTGTTGTAGTCGTCTTTACTAGTTGTTTAATTCCACTAACAATAGCACCTCCGGCTAAAACTGGAGCAGCAACTATACCTAATGCTCCAATTTTGGCAGCTTCTTTAACCGTATTCAGGGTTGAAGATGCAACATTTTGCTTTGGAATATCCGATTGTTGTAATATTTCATCAGTTTGAACTTCCATTGTTGTTGTATAAGGGAAAGATTCCCTTATCCTATCTGATGTTATAGATTTTGGAGTTTCTTCCAAAACTTTGGGTTTACCATCCTCGAGGAATTTGGTCGTAACTTCCGGTACATTATCTTTATTTTCGGTTACAGAACGTGTTTCTTTTGAACTTTCTTCTTCTCTTAAAATTCCAATAGCTTTGGCCTCTTCAATTGAACAAACTTCACCAGTTTTAACATTTTGCACTTCATTATTGGATATTAAAATGTAGCCTTGAATAAGCTCAATAGTCTTTGTAGTAACAGTATGAACTGCCGTTATGGTTTCCATGACTTCAGTTCTTGGAAGTGGTTTTTGTGTAATAACAAAGTCAGATATCTGTTTAACAACCAATTGGCCATTTTCCAAGGCTTCGCGAATGGGAAAACTTTCATGATTTTTGGGATGCTTAAATGTTTGATCCATGACACTAATAAGACCTTGTTCAACTGCTTTATGAACTTCAATAGCATCTGCCTTTGGTGGATATGGAATGGACATAATAAAATCATCATCAATGGCTTGTTTGAGAGGAATATCTTTATTATTTTCTGGATGCACAATAATAACTTTATCGGGATTTAGTAGGCCTCTCTCAACAACAACAGGGAATGTCATGCCTACGGGTGGTATGGTCACAACTGATTTCTGTTCGTCATATTTGCTATCAAAAATATCAGCAGATAATGCCTGAGCAAAATTCAAAATCTTACCATCGACGTTAAATGTAGATTTGTCTTGGTCTATGACATTCTTTTCGATGGCTTCTTCAATTGTACACTTAGTTGGTCGTTTAAGCTTTGAGTAAGGATCCAATACTTCGCATACTATCGCTTCCCTTATATTTAAGCCATAACCACTTTCTGGATGTACAATGGTTTGGGTTTTCGTGTCTATCAGACCCTGTTCCATTAGCTTGGGAATAGAGAGAGATTTTGCTAAAGGTATTAAAATGTGATTGGTTTCTTCCGAGTCAATAATATTTTCTCTTACAGCTTCAGCTATATTCAAGGTACGATTACGGTGTGGATCAACAATCTTTCCACTATTTCCGTCGATTAAACCCTTTTCCAATGCTTCAGAAATAGTTATAACCTGGTTCTTTTCATCCAAAAAGTTGCGTTTGTCCTCTAGGATATCTTTTGTTTTTTCATCAATTATACCCTTTTTAAATGCATCAGTTGGTTTCAAAATTATCTTACGCATTTTTTGCAGTACAACAACCTTTTCTTCACATGTGTCGCTCTCGAAAGATTTTGTTTTGGACAATTGATCTCTTGAGACAATGCCACGCTCATAAGCAACTTCAACTGGGATTTGTTCCCCTGTTCTAGGATCTGTCACGAAGCGAATAGTACGCAAAGCCCCTTCCGCTGCTACGAGAGGAGCACCCGAAACAATTACAAGCCCCTTTTGAATGGCTGTCAGGATATCAACGGGATAGCCTTCTTCTGTCATAATGGTTGAATTTTGAGGATCATAAATATTTCGTGTGATTGCATCATTTATTGAAATTAGTAATTTACTATTAGGATCCAGAATTTTGATTAAATTTTCATCTATTAAACCATGCCGAGCAGCATCAAAAATATTCTCTGTTTGGCCGTTATGCGTAAATATAACTAAAGCCGTAGAAGGGTCGTATATAGCACCAGGTGCAATTTGCAATGGTTCGGGCGAAGTTAATTCGCGCTGTAATGTCAAGACTTCAACGAACTTTGGAGATGACTCCGATGAAAGTGGTGTAGATATTTCGACAATTTCGGGCATGTTGTTTATCTTACTAATACGTAAAATACATTGTTCCCTAGCAGATGTTTTTGTCACTGGTACAGGTTCCAGAATAATTTTATTTTCATTAATAGCTGAACGCATTGTTTGTACTTCTTTGTTTTTATTTGTATAGTTTCCGAACGAATCTAAAATGTCTCTTTCAAAAGCATTGCGAATAGACAGTTTTTCGTTTGTTCTAGGATCTATAACTGACACAGATAAACTATTGATAATGTATTTCGTAATACACTCTTCGAAACTAACAACTCTTTCGGTACTCCTAATGTGGAAAACACCTGTATCTGGATTGAAAATACGCTGTTCAATTGCATCTTTTAGAGGCCAGCCTCCAGGAGGCAATTCTATAATCTGTCTTTCTTGTACATTATTTTCTACATAAGATGTTTTCTCACTGTGTATAAAGTCTGTATTAATCTTTCCGGTTTTCAAAACCTCCTGAGCTATGGGAATCTCTACCGATTTTTCTACAAATTTCTGTGTATTCATTTTAATGGGTTCCGATTCAGGCACTATTTGTTTAGTAACAATAGTAATGGTAGATTTGGTTTTCTTACGATTTGTTGGTTCAGGCACAGGATCATTGGCATCTGGTTGTAAAAGTCCATAGCTAAGTGCTTGTTGAACTGAATAAATTTTACCAGTTTTAGGATCTTTGAACAACTGTCTCTCCTCATCTATGAAACCTTGACGCACAGCTTCGGTAAATGTTAAAACTACATGTGTTTCTGTAGGTTCTTGGGAACCTGATCTAATTGTAACATAACGGTTAATTGTTCTTGTCACAGTTTCAGTCGTCAGCGTAATATTCAAAAGACTACTTAGGAGTAATGCGCCCTCGGGCGTTATAAACTTGCGTTCTATGGCTAAATCAAGAGGCACAGTTTCACCAGTCTTAGGATCTAACAAATAACCAGTCTTAGGGTCAATTAAATTGTGATAACATAGATCGAACACATTTAGCTCATTGCCACTGGCATTATGAACTCCAATACCCTTATTAAACATTTCAAAAACTTCAGGCCGTATAAGACCTTCTTTCATAGCTATTTCTAAAGGCACTTGTGAATCACGACTAGTTTCTAAAGCAAAACCTGTACTCTTACGGCGTAAGATTCCACGCGATGAGGCAACATTGAAACTAACAAAGTCATTGCTGACCATATCTTTAAAACCGTCTATATCAAAAATCGATTTTTGCGATACACTGCTTATTAAACCGCGCTCTACGGCCTCCGGAATTGACACTATCTCGCCTGTCATGAAATCCCTATACTTCGATTCAGCTGGCAAAACAATGCCATCTGCTATAGCCTCTTGAAGTGTGATCAATTCACCTTTACGTTTTGTCACACACTTCAAGTTGTTACCATCTACGACTCCTGATTCTATGGCCTGCAATATACTTAATTTTTCCCGTCTCATGGGGCTGGTTATTTTTGACTGTTTATCCATTAAATTTAAATCGCAAATGTCCTTAAGAGTGTATGGTTTGACAATAAGTTGACGATTCTTAGCCTCGACAAATGTCAGTTTTTCTTTAGTAACTTCATTCAAATACCGACCCGTTTTTGGATTTAAAATTCCCGATTTGAGAGCTTCGTTTAGTGTAATCTTGTTGTCGTTCTTAGCATCAACTACTTCACGTACATTGGGATCGATAAGTTGGTTTGCAATAGCCGAGTCAAGTCTGAATTTGTCACCCGAATTACGATCGGCTATCCATCCAGCCGTATCCACCAAGCCATGACCGATGGCATCACTAAGGCACAGGGCGTTCGATTTGATTGTCACCGACTCATGCCTAATAAGATACCCACGTTCATATGCTTCAGCCAGTGTTATTGTTTTGCCCGATTTCACCCGATACAGACCGGTCTTGGTATCCACATTTCCAGCAGAAATGGCATCGGCAATATTTTTAGGATTTTCGGCTTCTGTGGATTCTTCAATTGTTACCTTAATACGCTTCTCAGCTGTTTCATAGCCCGACTCGGCCTCACTGATCTCACGTTGTATAACTTCTAATAGAGAAAGTTCTCGCCCGCTGGCATCCCTACCAGCACCCGGCTCTAAGAGTTGATGTGCTAATTTGGCATCAATTAGCCCCTGTTTAACAGCCTCTTCCAACGAAATCCGCTTATCGTCACCAACGATCATTTCTCCTGTCCGTACATCCAATATTCGCATCTGTATGGCATCCCCAATCGTTAAAACACGTCCAGTTCGGGGATCCCTTATGCCTGTAATGTCTAGTAAATGTTTAGCATTGCCACCGAATTCGGTGCCAACATTCTCGTTTCTTGTCTGAACACGTTTAAGACTATGAATTTCGTTGAATTGTATTTGAGACTGTTTCGCTGGAACAGTCGTTCCATTAGTTGTGGTTGTGGTGTGTACATAGTCGCTAGCATCATAAACACTTTTTGTGGTTTTTGTTGTGCTAAACCTAAAACAATAAACAAAATGAAACAAAAAGTAGTCAATTTGTAAAAATGTACTTAAAAAAATATTCGTTAATTTTTAAATAAAAATATTATGTACGTATTCGCAACTGACTAATAACTATGGTAGTAGATATGTGTGTATATGTTACATTACTTACTGTGTTGTGCTGTATGAGGTGGTAAAGTGATCTTCATCGCGTGCAACGTAACCTTCGCCAGTAGGTACGTTGTTTGCGCCGAAATCTACGCGGAAAGTTTTGAGTGGTTTTTGCAAACTTTCAGCATATTGCTAAATGTAAAAAAAATAAATAAAATAATAATTATTTAACAATTTCATAATAAAAATGCAATTGTATACGAATTTGGATAACTTATAAAAACATTCACCCAAATTATTTGGTAATAATAATTTTAAAAATATTTACCTGAAATTCAAATGCAAAATTATATTCATTTTCTTCTGCCATTGGAGCAGAGAGATTTTATAATTTGAAAATAAATTTTAATAAGTCTAACTAGTATTGTGCTTTTCTAGGAACTTTGTTTGTTGCTTCAATAATATTTGAGTATTTAACATAATAGTTTTGAGCGTTCAGAATTTATTTATATTTAAACGATCTGAATGAACTTATGTTATATTTTCATTTTTTGTTTGTTTTATTTTTTTTTTTTTTGGTATTTTATATTTCTAATAATACACTAGAGAAACAAAAGGATATATATTTTAATAATTGTTTTATTTTTTGTAGGAATTTTTAATTTATACAAATGTTTGGTTTATGTATGTGCTCAAGAACTTCACAATAAGTTCAATGTTTTTTCTTGTGCATACCTAATAGATTTTTATTGATAAATTATTATTCGAGTACGTATGTATGTATGTAGTTGTATTAAAGTGAATAACTTTTGATAAGAAAGGTAAATAATATGCATTCCTCAAATTGACACATAATTAAATTTGTGAATTTTTTCCACTTGCTTTTATTAAAAATATTATTGATTGCCGAATATCTAGTAATATAATTAATTACAGATATCTAGTGGGCGGATTCTAGTTTTTCTATATCGAAAGAAAATTTCCAAAATAATGACTTCCTATGACAATTTATGTTATTTATTCTTGTTCCCACAGAATTATTAATATTTATTAGGATTTATGTCCTAATAGACAATATACATATTCCTAAATATAATGTTTATATAGATGAGGGTGTCCAAAAATCGTTCTTAATTTCCAATACCTGATAATAAAACTCATTTGCATTTAAAACCGCAAATGCAAAATTATTTCAAGGGATAAAATATTTGAAATCTATAGATTAGATAGATGACGCAATGCTTGAAAGTCTATTAAAAAAAACACAAAAATAACAAATCATTTCCACGATTGTAAACTACACTTCAAACTAACAAGTAAAAAAATCATTAAAAAGTGACTTCATTCCTGTGTTTATGGCTGCTTGCAGGCCCTAAATGAAAATACAAATAAAAACAATCAAGATAAGAAATTTTATAAAAACTCAGACAATAACAAGAAAACTAAACGAGTTGTTTTATAAACGCCACAACAATGACAATAAAATCCCGGCATTTTCCCAGAACATATACTTATTTTTTAAGAAATTATTATTTTTTAATTCTTAAAAACCATGTGCTAGCTGCAATTATTAAATGAATTTTGCATAAAAGTGTATTTTTTTTATAAAATCATCATCTTTGAAGATTGTAATTGGTTGTACTCTAGATATATTCAGTTTTAGATACATTGACCTTATAATAATGAAAATATTCCGGTTATAATTACGAAGTTTTATTTAAATTTTATTTTGCAGGAAAAATGCACAAATTTTATAATTGCACAGTGAAATGATACTGTTAAAAAGAACTGTAAAAAAAAATCTCAAAATTGAGCACCTAGATTCTGAAAACGCCTCTGCATTTTTCTTTTAATGATTAATATTGCAATTTATTTAAATTTCTTTGCATTATTACAACCATATGAATGTGAACCTTAGTTTGCACAATTGATTTCTTTTCATTTCATTTAGCAGCTATAAACAATGATTAGGAAAAACAGACTTTTAATTCTAACTAAAAATCTAAATATGACTAATAGTGTACTGTATAATATGTATGAATGTATTTAAAATTAATATTTTTTTAAAAATGAAACTAAAAAAAATGTTTAAAAATATTTCTTAAGGTCGCCCTCTTTAATCAATTTAAAAAGAAACCTACAACAAAATGTATTCATATAAAATACAGTGTATCAGTTGTATAGTGGAACACTACAGAATACATTTAGACTAAAAACTATAAAAACATGTTTTTTCTATTAAAATTTTAGCAAATAAAAGAGTTATAAACAAATTATTTATAAAAAATATAAATTTTTTTTATCATCATCTTTATATTTTATTGTCCTTTTTATTTAAGTCCTAAAACTATGGTATTTGTGATTTAGTATAGCCGGTAGTGCGGTGTGTTAATCTATCCCTCTAGGGTTTGCGATTTCTTTCCCACTTGTTTTACCATAGATCAAACAATTTATATTAATCGGGTCACAAATAAATTTATAGGAAAGGGAATTTATAGTGCGATCATAAAGATCGAAATATTTTAGCCTAAATTTATAATTTTTAATGTTTTTCCCCATGTCTCATTATAATTTGAAACCACTGTATATAACAAATAATAACAAATACAACAGAAATAGCAACGCAAATATGTATAACAACAAGAACAACCAATCTAATACATTAAAATATTAAAAATAAAGGCAAATGATGTCATCATCGTCATCATAACACACACTTGATCTCACACGCCGCAAACTGTGTTTTTAATAATAATGATGTTTGTTAATGATTTCAAAACAAGTTTCGGTACTAAAACAAAATTACTACTAAATGTACCTACTCGGGAACAACACTTTTCTACGATACATTTGTTAATTAAAAAAAACTTTACAAAACAACATAGACAGTCATTTATTTAGTTTGTTTCTATTTTGTTACTTTAACAGTAGTTCCCATCGCAATAACTTGGCTAACACACGAAAAAGATTAAGAAAAAAAAACTTAAATGTTTATTATTTTTTTGGCTACTTGGCAACTTGTGGCACAACGAGCCAAAAAGACAAAATGGAATTTCGAGGAAAATATGAAATAATTTCAACTACAAAATAAATAAAAATAACACAAAAATTAAATAAAATAAAATGGAAAGGAAAAGTGACTAATTGCCTTGAAACAAACTAATAACAAAAAAAAGCCGACACATCTTGATGAGACTAACTAAATAGAAGACGAAATATAAAAAAGAAATAAATAATTTTACTCATTCATTCATTCATTGTATCTAACACACATGTCCATAATGTTCATGAAAATTTATTTTGCATGTGTCTGACTGAGTTGTAGTTGTTACGAAATTTGTTGTTAATTTTTCTATTCTTTTGAAATTTCAAATTATAAAGGGCATCTTATAGAATGAAGAAATGTATACAAATATTTTACTAAGCTTCTTAAAACTGAAATTGTTGGATTTGGTAGAATTTTTGGCTATCATTACAACTATAGTTTAATATATGTATGTATGTCTGTATATCAAAGATGGATCAAGATATATCCGATATTAAACTTAGAACTTTCAGTTAACTAAACAAATTCGAATTTAGTGTACCTGAAACGTTTAAAAAAGTAAAGAGTTGTTGGTTTTATGTTTGGCTGGATGAACCTTTTAGGGCCATTTCAAAATTGTATAACTTTTTTTATTTGGAAAACACAATGCATTTCCGAGTACCGTTAAGGGTTTAATATTGCTCGATTTGATTTGAATTTTCAGGGCTTGATTATACAGGTTAACAAAGGTTTAACCCAGAGACCAGAGTATACGTTTCTATACGATTAAGCTGCTCTGAATAATTATAATAACATAGGACTGAAAAAAGTCAAAACAACGGGACTAAATTATACTTTTCTAAGGGATTGAGCTGCACTAAAAACCGTTACTATACAATTTTAATCCGGGGGTTCTGCGTTGAAGTCCAAGCCAAGAAATTGGGCTACTTCTACTGCATTAGTTCATAATTACATTGGGCTAATATAGGTAGGGTGGTCTAAACAGTTGATATGTGGTGGATATCATCATCGGAGGGTCCTCCCTTTCCTTTTTTTAAGGCTGACTTCCAAAACGTCAGTTGCTTTGTATACGAACAAAGTATAGTGTTTCACAACGTCGCCGTACAAAACATTGACAATGCACACTGTTTCAAAACGTCATCGACAAGTATTAGAAACGCAGCGAAATGGCAATCAGCTCATCAGTTTTAAAGTCGATGCTTGTTGAAATTATTTGCTAAAACTACACAAACAGCTGACTTACTAAAAACAATACTTAGCATCTTCTATATTTTAGAACGTGAAAATAACCAAAGCATCGTTGCAATGTTTTGAAACTTTACATGTGTACAAGATTTAAATACCTCAGTGAAATTGTGTCTAAACTTTGCATTGGTACGTTTTGGAAGTTCAATTAAATTACGTTACCTAAAGTTTGAACCTACTATTAACTCTGATTTTCGATAGTTTTTGCCATGTCTTTACGACAAACTTATAAGTCAGAACTTCAGTTTTTCCTTTAATAATTTTTTTTGGTTTGGATATCGCCTCTATTTGTTGAGATAAGGCCCGTTGAAGTTTTTGAGGCAAAATCGATTTTTTGAGAATTAATGGTTGTTTAACTTTGGAATAAGTTATCTCAAAAAAGGAACAAGATATAATTGTGGATAAAACATTATTTGGAAGCCAAAGGATATCACTTTTAGAAGACATAAACAATGTTATATATATATAATGGAGGCTTTGCGCTGTTATAACAACTTAAAATCGCAAAAAGGGCTTATAATATAAGTTTTATATCTCGAAAATCTGATTTAATTAATCCTTTATAAAAGTATAATTTACATCAAATTCGAACCAGTGTCACAGGTGGGAATCGAACCCACCACCTCCTGTCTACCAGACTAGAACGCTAATCACTAAACTACCGGAGGCCAGGTTTTCCACTTTTTTCAAATTTCTCAACTTGTGTTTATATTGAATCAACTGTAACAATTATCCATATTGTAGTCTTTGAATAATTACAAAAAAAACATTAAAAACTAACTTTTAAGGGCCTGAATTATTCGAAATTTATTTAAATTTAAAAATAAATAGTTTAATAGGTAACTAGAATATGAAGTTGTTGTAAAAGAGTTTCTCAACATATGTCAATAAGTTTCCCTTT